TCAGGTGTGCTTACACTTAATAATGTACACAAGTACACAAACATCTACATCCTGAAAAACAAAATAAACAGCAGTTCTGCACTGTTGTCACCAGTGTATTATGATGTTTCCTTACATAGGTGCATGACATTTACAGGCAAATGTCTTGGAGAAAGGGACTATGTTGTATTCAATGAATATAAAACACTTATCATATTGTGGCTGTTACAATTAACAAATAAAAGATGATCTTGCAGAGTGTAAGGATGTACAAAATTAAAGACACATTTTTTTTTAAAATTGCCTTTAAAGTGTAAAAAACATCAATGACATTAACAGATATTTGTCTCGTTCCTGATAAAACAAAAATGTTGCTAATGAAAAGTATAAAAAATATTTCAGAATATAGGTTTTATCAATGAAAGGATGCACAAATATTTGATGGTGTAAGGGTGCCTTGCATTTCAGCAGGTGCATGAGTAACTAAATCAGAATAAACCACCACACTCCAGCCACCCTATTGTTCTCTTCATCTGTACAAAAGGAACCCTCAACCAAAACAGACCCAGCTCTCCTCACCATGTGCATTATTGGGATTTTCATTGTGTTGACAAGAAGGGTGGGTTAGAGCATGGCTCTGTTCTCCCTGCTGTCATCTGCACAGCCCATCATCAGCTCGTGTTGGCATTTTGTACCGACGTGTGCTATTTGATGTGGAGACAGGAATAAGAGAGGGGAAATACTCTCCCCATGTTTGCTCTGACTGCCTTTTCCAGTATCACATAGCCTGACTTTTGCTCATTCTAGGCTTGGGAAATGAAGCAGAAGCACAGTTCTCATGAAGGAGGACACTCTGTTTAGCACGAACCAGTCAGTTGGACTGAAAAGGATTTGGGGTCCCAAAGTAAACTAATTAGAACAAACTTAAGTCTTTTGTCATTCCCTTCCCTGAGGCCACTTGAAAATAATCATGGATTAGGATCATAGAATATTTTGTGTTGGAAGAGACCTTTAAAGGTCATCTAGTCCAACCCTTTGCAATGAGCAGGAACATCTTTATCTACATCAGGTTATATATAGTCTCTTGAGATGATTTGAATTCAGCAGAGCAGTTTTGGGCCCTTGGTCTCTCACCTAGATGAGGTCAGCTGCACAAAGCACCTCCCTTTCCCAGCCATTTTTATCTTGTGACCAATTGTACTTATTGAAATCAACATGAAGATGACAGATCAGAGACTAAAGCTCTGTCATGAATAAAGAAGTTATTGAATAGAGCTGGATGAGAGAGAAGCCTTAAAGAAGGAATTGACTGAGTGCTGAAATTTTCCCTTTCTTTTTTTTTCCCCCTAAACAATCAGTTGCAATATAAACTATAATTCTCTCTTTGCCTAAATCTTGTCTTGCCTGTGTTTCCAGAACTCTGTAGCTGTAGGAGCACAACCATAACCATTAACAGTCATCTCCAAAGTAGTATCTCATGGCAACAGATGAAGTCAGATCAGACCATGTAATCACTTCCCTATGGGAATAAACACTTGTCCTAAAAAGAGTCTTAACACTCACAGGCCCATTTTATGCAGTATTCAGAGCACAGAATTGCTGAGGCAATCATCCTGGATGATCCCACCAGTTATCCCACTGTCTGCCTGCTCTCCTTTTCCTTTTTCTGGCTTTGCCATAGGATGAATGCCACGGATAGTGAGTCAGGGTGGAAGGACCACAGCCATCCCTTCTTCAGGCACATTTATGGGCACATTACTTTGCTGTTCCTGCATGTGGGACTCTTCATTTGATGAGCTGAGGGGGTCTCACGTGTCCTGGCACCAGAAGTTATTTGGTAAAGATTTCCAAAACCAGTAAAAACTGCTGAGGGGAATAGGGATCTCCAGGTTGAATCATCAGACTCATAAAAAGCATTATTTCTGCTCTGTTTTTGAGGCATCATTTCTGCTTCCTCTGCTGGTATCTTAGCATCCCACCTCTCAAATACTCTGTTATGACAAGATTGGCTCAACAATTAAGTGAGGATTGACTTTTCCAGCAGAACCTACAGTGGCATTGTGCTGATGGGAGAGAAAGTTGTTGCCACCACTGTTTAGTTCACTTTAAAACATGTCTTGTGGTCTTCATGTTAAGCTGCTTTGCAAAATCATTTGTCCACTCTAACACATGATCAGAAGGAAGGAAGGAATATTCTGAAGCATGTGTTTGACTAGAAATCTAATCTTTCATCTTCCTGTGTGGCTCCTCTTCTCTTTCTCCTCTCTTTCCATCAGCCCTCTATGCCTTTTTCTGTTTACCACATAGTGCAAAGGCCAGGACTTCATCCATCTCCTCTCAAATGTGGTGTTTGTGGTAGGAAATTCATGCCTTCAAAAATGCACACAGTTTGTGACAAAGACACATCTTCATCTAGAAAGCACCACACCGCTCTCTGTTGCTATGTCAATGAATAATTAATAGAGTGAATAATTATATTCAATAGATTTTACCTTCTTGTAATTTGCTACTTGTTCCCCATGTTTCTGGAAAGCAGATGATCTAGACTTGTTAATTTCTTTTGCTTTTAACCCATACCTGGCTTGTCTGGAAATGCTTTGGTTTAAGATCATGTTCCTTAGGCATGATATTTTAAAATATTTCAGACTGTAAGCAACTTTCTATGAAATAGTAATAAGGAGTGCTCCAGTAAGTTCTGGTTAGGGTAGGAGCAGCTGCAGGGTAACAGGTTTTTGGATTAAAGGAACAATTATTTATCTGGCATAAAGGGTGCACATACTGGCTTAACCTGGCAAGGAGATGAACTTTAATATGACACTGATTTCAGTACAGTCTCACTCGTTATAAAATCTAGAGACTCATTGAAGTAAATAAATATGTACACAGTGCTACTGTTTTCTTGACACGTATATATATATACACGTGTGTATATGCATTGTGTGGCAGATGCCAAACAAACAGATCTATTCAGTGTTAACGCTCCTCACAAATGTACCTGACAGACCAGAAGTTTGAAAATGTCACTTGAAAATATTTACAGGTTTCTGGGAAAAAAAAAAAAAGAAAGAAAACCCACCGAAGAAAACCCAAACACACCAAAACAACACAGACCCAAAATTATTTCAGGCGTGTGGCGCCAGATTTCTGTGTTTGAGCGTATGAGCTCATTAATTGTAGCTTTGAGCTGTGTAAAAATGTGCATCAGTGCCCTTGATGTGCCTATATTTTGGTGATGCACGAATTGTCTCTATATCCTGTCTAAGAAGTGGACACTAATATCTGCCCTGGAACATAATTAGAAGTCATAAAATACCCTGCTGTACTGAGTCAGGATCTCACCCATCTGGGATTGATACCAAGAGATGTTCTTTTCTGGTTTTGCTGTCAGCACAAATGTTTAAATATACCTTCAAGAGCTGAAATATTTGGAAAGAAATTCTGTTTCCTTATTGCCTTATGTAAGCAAGCAATAGTCTGCATTTAATGAAGGTTCATCCTTCAGTCTGTCTCTGTGAGAAGTGAAACAGACACCTTAATTTTAAGAGGGCTGCATGTGTAAATTGATAAAGAAAAAGGTGTAGGATCTTGGCTAAAGCAAGCTTGTAATTATAATTATTCTATTCTATTCTATTCTATTCTATTCTATTCTATTCTATTCTATTCTATTCTATTCTATTCTATTCTATTCTATTCTATTCTATTCTATTCTATTCTATTCTATTCTATTCTATTCTATTCTGTTCTGTTCTGTTCTGTTCTGTTCTGTCCTGTCCTGTCCTATCCTATCCTATCCTATTCTCACAGAATTTAGGTTAGAAGCTAAAATTTTTAAGTGCAAAAAAGTAAGTTTTGTAGTTAAAAAGATTAAGGTGTTCACAGGAAAGAAAGAAATTATCAGGGTATCTTAAAAGGGACAGTATGTTTCCTTTAAGCATGAGTGATGAACACAGATTAATTCTGCTCTAAGAAGGTCTTCATATCATCATCCTCAGATAAACCATCTGAACTCCTCCTAGTAGTGCATTGAATTATATGATATTTTGTATCACTGTCATATGCAGCTCCTTTTTTTTCTCGTTCCCCCAGGGAATAACGGTGCATGCAGTGGTAAGATTTATTTCTTCCATAGAAAATTTTTTGTTGTAGTCATGTTGGAGAAGGCAGGTCAAAGAAAAGTGTTTTGTGCTTGGTGAAAAAATATGTGTTAGTCCTTAAGATTATTTCTTTTTTTTTCCCTGGGAGTTTGTTCTTTTCTCTTGGATCAGTTGCAGAGAAAGTTTTCTCTCTTTCTCTCCCTCATATTAACTTTAAGTTAAAAGCTCAGTTTTGCCTGAGGAGTTATTGATCACAGTCTTGACTGAAAGATTTGGTGATCATTCAGCAGTTTTAGACCCAGGCCAAGGAATTGCCACTCTCAAGAAATAAACAATTGCAGAGCTAACCTGAGATAAACTGATGTAGCTCAATAGATTTTAATCGTTAATATCAGCTGAGGATTTGACCTAACTTTGGAAGGAATTTATGAGTTCAAAGGTGTGGAAAGCTGTTCTTGCTGCAAATCACTGCAAACCCATAGCATTCTTGAATCTTTGTAATCCTAAATTCTGCTATGAGAGTTAAATTTAACATTTCTCATTAGAACCAACATCCTAATATTTTCACAAACTGTGGGGTTTTTTTAAGTGGTGAGGCTTCAATCTTATTTTGTTAATCACACTGGATTGGAGAGACCTTAGTGATAACAGTAATTTTTTCAGAGCATGAAATCAAATAACCATCACAAGGTGTTTTGACTGTAAAACTTATGAGATCTAATAATTCACTGTTCCCACACTGAAATCCCAACACATTCATTTTTCTCAAAACAATAATGTCATAGAAAGCCAAACCACCTTTGTGGGAAAAACCAAACCCAAACAAAACCAGCCACAAGAGAACTACAGAGCTGTTCATCGTTTGGTTTGTCAAAACACAGAAGAGGAGGTTTCCCTCACTTCAATATTTCAATTTTTTTTTTGTAGGTGGCACCTGTGTTGTCAACCCCACTGACCTGTTCTGCTCCGTTCCTGGTCGCTTGTCTCTGCTCAGCTCCACTTCCAAGTACAAAGTGACCATTGCAGAGGTGAAGAGGCGCCTTTCACCACCAGAATGCCTCAACGCTTCCCTCCTTGGAGGTATTTTGAGAAGGTAAGTTGAAGGTGAGGATTACAACTCCTAGACAATGCTGTAATTGCTGTATTTTTTATTATTATTATTATTATTTTTAACAGATAGGCTTTATTTTTTTTCCCTGCTTGGATAGGTGGCATATTTGGGGTGAATAGAAGGGGATGGATCAGGAAGGAACACTGGAGAATTTTCAGTAAATTAACAAATTTACATTTTTCATCAAACTGATTTTTTTTTTTTCCTCTTCTCTTCAGTTACTCATCAGGCATGGATAGATATTGCTTTGATTTGTTTTGAGAAAAAAAAAAAAAATCAGCTAGTGGAAAATTTCACCAGAGCTACAAATCTAAATTCTTGCTGAGAACCTATCTCAAAGTAAATAATTTTATAATAGTTACAGCCCTCACTCCACCAAAAAAATAAAACACTGAGGTGTTTTTTTCTTCCTCTGCATGTTTTTTGAGCACAACAAAGACAGGATAATCTGGTTTTACTTTTCTTGTTGTGAGATATTCGGGGAGAAGTGAAAAATTAGGCAAAATTTTGCCTCTGACCCTTCACTGGCCAGAGCAGACACCTGCAGAGAGCAGGAGCAGAAAGAAGGAAAGGGGCAGACTGTGCCTCACATTGCAAGTGGAAAACCAGGAGGCAACTGTAATTCAGGCAGGCATATCTAAGTCACGGTGTCCCCGAGGCATCAGCTCAGATGGCATCAGCTGCTTGAACACCCTTTGATCAAAACTAGCTGGAAAGTCATCGGTTATTTCACTGCTGGCACTGAAGGCCACACTGATCCTCCTGCTTATACTGAAAGTCATTTTAACCAGCCTGAGACGTGCAGGCACTCAAGAGCTGTCCTGAGACATCTCGGAGAATAATGACTATAGACCATAAACTGTTTTCAAGGCATAAGTTCCCTTTAACCGTCTCTATGAGTGTTGAAATCCAAAATCAACATCCACCAAAATTTTTCCCCTCTGTTTGCTTCATCCTGGGGAAACCTTCAGTTAATTTTCATTTTAAATGCTCATGCTGCAGGTTTCATCAATACAGTGCAAGTTATTTTGGATTCAAAGGCATCAACTTGAATGTGGGGGCTCACTTGTCTCCTGCGTTAAAATGCTTGAATAATCCCCACAGGTTTTTGATCCAGATTAAATATCTCCTCTCCCAAATTAACCCTGGGCATGGTTCAGGAGTTTGCAAAAACCAGGGGCTCCTCCCTGTCTGCAGTTTGGATGTGCTAATACTTTTAGAATCAGAAAGAGCAATGGAACATATTCAGTCGATTTGTAACTGAGGGTTTCACAGCTAGAGAACAGGCTCAAACACTCTGTATTTGACCAGGAAAGATGTAGGAAAACAAAATCTCATGGATTGTTTCCCTGAGACCTTGAAGGCTAGTTTTGCATCCTGTCAGCAGTCACTGCTTACCTATTTTCCTAAATAGCTTGCTTTCAGAATAAAATGTTCTTCCGAAAAAAGAAAAAAAATATTTTCAGAAGTTATTTCATGACAAACAATGTGGCCAAAGTTGTGATGTTTTTTAATAAATAAAAACATAAAACCAGGCATCCAAATGGTGATATTCTCTATTTGGTTCCTTCCTCTCCCTGAAGGAACTTGAATATGAACCTCAAAATATTTAGTTATTTATTTTTATTACTCAGTGATTGCTTTTTCTAAGCTGAAAGCCCCTCAATCTTGTTTGGAGTTAATTGTGTAAATTATGTGTTTCTCAAAAAGCAAAGGTATAGATTCTTATCTAATTAATGGACAGGTAATTCACTTGAGATGGGAGATATCAGAGTTCCAGTCACTGTTTTATTCATTGTTTAAGCATTTTAACAGTTGTTATTTTCTGTCAGCTGGCTGCTGCATCTGTTTGAAAGATACAGGTTAAAATTCCCTCAGGCTGAGGAAGAATTTGAACCTACATCAGCTGCATAAGTGGATTTGTCTCAAATGCTTCAAACACTGAGGTGCTGCAGAAAAGCAGCTGGGACACACCAGGACCCATTTTGTGAGAACAAAGGGATGTAGGTGTTTGGCACAGGGGCACAGATAACCAATTATGGCTGAGATTTTAGCTTCAGCATTTCCTGTTGCCTTGACCATCTTTCTTGTGATTTTTTGGATTTGAAGACATTTCAGAGTACCCAGGTCTCTACATAAATTATAGAGGGATAGTTAGAGCTGGGTTCCACATAGACATCTACATTTAAGCAGCTATCTGGCTTCCTTTAACAGCCAGACAAGCCACATGAGTAAAGTTCACTCATTGTGGATATCTGTTTAACTCTAGAAGGTCATGTTTCTTTCTAATTTGTCTTTGGAGCCTGGCTTGGCTAAATCAGATATAAATGTTTGCACTGTCAATATTTATATTTAGTCACTGAAATCCCAGGTGCCATGCCCAAATCAGGACTCTGGGCTCCACTAGGTGGAAAGCTGCCTGAAGATCTGATGCCCCCATGACAAGCATTAAAATCTCTAACTCTGCCAAAGAACTGATGTTAAAGAATCACCTAGAGCAAGCAGGATATTAAGAATACAGCTCTGAAATATTTCCCATTGAAGTCACTACTGCAGTAACTACCCCACATATTTGCCAATGAAGTGTGTGCAGTTTCTAGGCTTATATTAACATAGGAGAAAGGTGCAGAGTAATGACAAGTCCCTCTTTCCTGCTGTTCTCTCGTGACAGAGCAAAATCCAAGAACGGAGGACGCTGCTTGCGAGAAAAATTAGACAGACTTGGACTGAATTTGCCTGCAGGAAGAAGAAAAGCAGCAAATGTCACACTTCTGACTTCCCTGGTAGAAGGTAGGGTTTCTAATATTGCAATATAATAAAATCATAATTAAAATGTTTCATGGCATGCAACCCTTTTCAGCCATAGGGTTAAATCCCATAATCTGTATTTTGTATAAGGAGACCTGACTTGCCTAAAGCCACAGATAGAGTGGGTGGCAAAATGGAAGTGTGCTCGGAGATATCTTGGCCCCCAGCAAGTGTCTTGGTCCTGCAGTTTCCTCAGCATTGATTTATGCTTACAAATCGATCATCTGAGTGTTCTTGTGAGAGAGATGAATGTCTTATACCAACTCTATAAGTAGGTTTGTTTATCCTCCTTTTTTAAATTTTTTTTAAACTTGTGAATTTCCTGGAGCTGGTCCAAAAATGTGATGGGTTTTTTTTTTCTCCCATAAGAAAGCATAATATTTAGACAAGCCTTTTCCCCACACACACAAATGAATGAAATCTGTTTTCAGATAATATCTAGACAGGCTCAGGAGATACTTTCTTGGCCTTTATTTGTTGTTTAAATATCATTCACCAAATACTGCCAGGCTCTTCACACCTTCAGCTGGGAGATGCAGGTTCAAACCCCTCAGGCAAAGGGAGGAAACTCTACCTGCATTTCTTCTGTTCTGGGTGAATCCACTAAGTACCCAGTTTGTTGTTTGGCTGCCAGTAGCAGCTCTGGGAATTTCAGATCCCTCCTCCTTGATGTTGAGAGAACTCAGCTCATCCTAAAGGTCAACACCTTCTCCAATCACAGCCTGAAAGGTCCATACACATCTAGGCAAGTAGGCTGAGGTCTCGGAATTACAGAATTACAGAATTACAGAAGGATTGAGGCTGGAGGACACCTCTGGTGATCTCCCAGGCCAATCCTCCTGCTCAAAGCAGGGTCAATTAGAAGAGCTTGCTCAGGACTTTGTGAGTTTTTTTATTATCTCAAAGGATGGAGACTCTTCAAGGCAGAAATAGCATTGAATCCTCAGCACTGGAAGTTTTCAGCATCTCTGAAAAAGGACTGAGATTTTCAGGGGTCACTGAGCACAAGAAAGTCAACGAGGCTGCTCTGAAGTACAGGTGTGTCCATATCACACCTGCTTGCAAGAGAAAGCTCTTATGGAGCTACAGCCTTAAGAAAGGTACTAAAAATAGAGGAGTAAGGGCTGTTCCCACCTTCAGGCATCTCATGTCAGGGAAGAATAGACACAGCTGGCTATTATTAGTAAGCAGAGCAATGGCTTTAAGCTGAAAGCTGGAAAGAGGAAGAAATCCTTCCCTGTGAGGGTGGTGAGGCCCTGGCACAGATTTCACAGAGGAACTGTGGCTTCCCCATCCCTGGAATTCCCCAAGGCCAGGTTGGACAGGGCTTGGAGCAGCCTGGGACAGTGGAAGATCTCCCTGCCCATGGCAGGGTGTGGAGCTGGAGGATCTTTTTGGTTTCTTCCAACCCAGACCATTCCATGATTCTGGGATTCTATGTGACCAGTTATTCATTCATCAGAGGAGACTGAGAGAGAGGTAGGTGTCTGCTGGCCTGGGGCTGATGGCTGAGTGGCTTTACTGTAAGTCAGGGTCAGATTCCTGCTTCCCAGGAATGGAGCTGTGCCCACCTCCCTGCCCTTTATTCAAAGCAAACCTGGTATCCAGCCTGCGGTGTTGCTTCTTTTCTTGGACTGCCTTGCTGGGAGTCCTAAAGATAAATGCTGATAAATGTGCCTGAGCTCTCTTTGCAGAGACCTTTTTTCCTGGATATGGTAACCATGAATTTTATCCAATGGAATTTTTGGGAATGGCATCACCATGTTAACATTCCAACAGAAAACTAAGTGAAGCTCATTTCCTGTCTGTGTAACCAATTCTGTGTCAAACTTAGCAGTGCTCATTGGGTTCTTGGTGGTATAAGCTGTTCTTACTTTGGGCATGCAGATATTCCTTCCAGGTGGAACTAACTTAGAACACAATTTCTTCAAGGGAAACCATCTTTCAATGGCTCCTGCTGCTGGAGAGGGCAGAATGGAAGGACACAGGCTTCTGTGGTTTAGAGAACCCAGAAAAAAAGCAACACGAGCTTTCATTGTGCAATAGCAATACAAAAATTGAAACAAAAATAATCTTTTAGTTTTATTAAATCTCTAAAATATCAGGTACACAGAGTGTACCTCTCATAAGGACCCAGGATTGTGTCGCTCTTGACTTCTTTAGATGGTTCTAAATTTATTATTGCTGAAGGTCCTCACAGTTGTCAATATATTGAGGTTTTAATATCTCTTTAAGGTGAAAGAGCGCCCAACCTCTTGAGTATCTCTGTGATTTAAGATAAGGCAAAATTAGTTGCATGATTATTGTGTTTATTCACCAAAACCAAGTAAAAAAATCTCAGGCATGACTAATACTCCTCTTCCTCTAAAACATACTGAAATCATTGAGTTTTGGGGAGTCTGTTAAGCTCAAGGAGGAACTGCAATTTCTTTTTAGGCTGTGGCTATCGCATGAAGGTCCAGATTTTATGAAAATTATCCTGTGGCCTCCTGTTTCCTGGGAAGTTTTTTTTTCTTTTGGAGTTCTGTTTTGCTGCAGGATGTTTACTGTTGGCTTGATCAGGTCGCATCTTTAGAGTCTTTGGTAGAGACATCTTCGGCCCAAAATAGGAATCGTTTGACAGATGAGTCCTGTTCTCTTTGTCATCCACATAAATCAGCGCAAGGAGTGGAAAAGCAGACAGGGAGAAGGAAGTCAGAACTCTCCCGAGCAGTTTGGGGACACATCTTTGTGTAACCTGCAGGCGAGGGATGCCCTCTAGTGCCTGGACTAGATCGAGGGAAAGGTCATTTTTCTTCCGAGCTCCAGAAGGAAAATTCCAACGTATTAGCTGCAAAATAAAGGCTCCTCGAATAAATATAGTTATTTCCAAGTCCAAGCTTTACTCTGGGCTCAAAAGGGTCTAAAGCTTCTCCAGTGGGAGTAAAGAAGGATGTGAAAAGAGGGGAGATGTCCCCTTCTGTTTGAATGGGTCACTTACAAAACATAAATGTGATTGCAGATGCAGGTAAAAGCAGTGCATGAATGATTTTTAAACCGTCAGATAAAAAAAAAATAATAATAATAAAAAAAATCTAGAATTTGTTTTCCTGTCAAACCTGATTAAGACACTAAATTTCCTAGACACAGAATTAATGACATTCATCATTTGGGGACAAAAACTCTTGAGAAAAAATAGGTCAGTGGTTTCTTTTTTCATCGTGCTCTCAACTATCACACTTCTCCCCCACCAGCCTTTGTTTAAATATCCTTCCACTTGTTCCTCCTCCCTTCTCACCCTACAAATAGAATAAACTTTCCTTCCACCTCCTGCCTGTCCCTCCTCCCCCTGAGTAACATTTCTGCTGGGTTGAGCATCCGGAGGAGGCACAGGCGAGGAGAGAGTGGGAGGTTCAGATGCCGAGTGTCCCTCTCCTGGGGACACAGCTCCTGCCTTCCCTGTGCACAGGAGCATCTCTCACTCCTGCTGGCCCCGGGGGAGCCTCACCCCTCCTGCACCTGCCCACGGAAACCTTCCGAGCTACTCGGCTGCTCTCCCCAGCGAGGCTTCCAGAGCTGTCTCTGCCGATTCTGCCCCGGTAATTGTCCTTTTCCATCGTGCGGAGCTCTCTGGTCAATTGTCAAGGTGTGGAGAGGCAGCGCTGCCAGGAGCTGCAGAGCCCTGTGCTGGCTTTGGGAGAGCAAATTCCCAACATCTGCTCTTTACCGCGGCAGGAGGAAAGAGCTGGGGGCATCAACCACGGGGAAATTTGATTTTAGGTTGAATTTAGTTTGAAACAGGGAATTAACTATAAAAGTCAGGGATTTTAGGCGTTTCTACCTTTATCATGATTTCTACTCTGGTGTAATTAACAACTAGGCAGGTGAAAGAAAGGTGGAAGAAAAAAGATCAGTTCATCCACATTTCCAACATTTACACATTTCCCCCCCGAAGTAAATGTTTATCCAAATTATGCTGTAGGAAAAGAAAGAACATATTTTATGACATTTTATATAAACTACTTTCTCCTACCAAGCAGACTTAATCCTACTGTACAGTAATCAAAGGGACACCTATCCACAAAAACACAAATATATCACACTTCTAAATATCAAATCATCATTTGGTCCTGGTTTAAAATTACATCTTTGCTTAACAATGAGATAGGAGAAATTATGCTCTGCAGAGTGTTCTCAATTCCAAATTTTTATTTTTATTTTGAATTTACCTACTCCTTATAGTATATTCATGCTTATATGAATAAATACACATAACTCTAACATGCATTTGTAGTATACATGAACTTTCCATCAAAAAATATTTTAAATTTTAATTTGAAGTATTTTAATTATTTCATTAAAAACCATAATTTCATTTGTATTTACATCTTTACCAATCTATATCCATGAAGACATCAGTGATTTTGTTTCCTTTTGCTCAAATGCTTTTATATCACAATCACAATCCCAGCTCCAGACAGGTTTGATACTTTTGAATAATTTTCTCAGATTATCAGAACAGTTAACATCATTTTCTCAGCTCTAGCAAATACTATAAACCTTAAAATAAATATAAATTTGAGTGACAATTCACATTTTCATTCCCTTTTTTCTAGCAGTAAGTAGAAACATTCACATTTCAGTCACTTAGTTGTTGATCACATTAAATGAATGCCTACATTTCAACACAAAAAGCTCTGCTCTCTTGAAGAATCCAAGACTTTTCCAATGGCTAAATATTTAAATTCTTTGCTGTCTACATTCCTTGTATTGTTGCTGGGGCTGACTGGGACCATGATAAAGCTGTCTGGAGAATTGCAATTTCACCTGATGACAGCTTCAAAGTGATTGACTTTTATTTTCTTTCCATGCTGGAATGAAGATAAACCTATCAAGTATTTTAACAGAATTTAGTTGAAAAGAAAAACCTGGTGCTCTTCTGAAATTGATTTACTCTGTAAGTTTTTATTTAAGGAAGATTAAAAGCATATCTGAAATAGACACTTCGAATATAGACTATATAATAGAATATATATATGAATATATAATAGACACTACAGAAATATAAAAGCTATGGCTTAAATTTGTACCCTTTCTCACCCACAAGGAAATCTGGGATAGATGTTTGAAACACAGAGCAATCAGTCAGTTCTGTGCCTGTTCATTCTGATTCTCTGTTAACTTATCACTGAAATACATTTTGTTTTCACTGAAAATTATTTTACTTTTCTAGAAGCTGCGAACTAAGTGGAAACTGTTTCTCTTTTCAGCTCAGAGATACTGATTGCTTGTTAACATCTTCATTCTTTTTAGGAATACTGCAAATCATGTTTGAAAAAAAAAAATCCAAAGAAAGCAGATGATTTTGACTATAATCTTCAATTTTTTGCTGTAAAGTTGGTTACAGCTGCAGAGGTTGTAGCTGGCTGGTATCAGCAAACAGATTGTCTGGGAGTGGTGCACGGATTTTGTCAGTACCTGAATAAACTGGGGCAGAAGAACACACAGGAAAATATTTTCTTGTGGAATCAAAAGGTGTTTTTTCCATAGAAGCTCCTTTGGTAGAAGGGGAGACAAAATATATGTCTCAATGATATCTCAAAAGGGGGAGAAATGAGTTGGGATAGAGGTCAGTGCACACAGTTTCTTATTCCTCATACTGTCCCTGGCACAGGACCGCTGTTTCCATGGAACTTCTCTTCCTTGGCTTAACCAAGCCTGGCTGAGGATGGGATTCATCTCCCCACCTTCATTGCAGTTGCACATTCTCATGTCAGATCACAGTAAATAGGGAGAAATCACCACTTCTGGGTGTTTAATGATTTAACTATTAAATGGAGTTAAATTAATAATAGTTTTATTATGTTGCTCAGAAGAGCTGTGGCATTTCCATAGTTGGAAACATTCAAGACTAGGCTTGGAAAAGCCTTGAATAACCTTATCTGAGGCAATGTTGTCAGCAGAAGGTGATTTCCTGAGTTCTTATCTAGACTTTCCATAATTCCTCTGAGTCCCTTTTGCCTTCTACTCTAGTACAGTATGATACATGCTTCAATACTTCCATTGATTTGAAAGTATTAAGTCCAACATCAATATTGACATTTAATCTGATGAATTCCACTGCAGATATTCTCAAAGAGAGGAGTTACATGTCCTTTATCCCTCCTGACAACAACAGCCTTTGGTACTTCAAAGAGCCGGAGTCCAATGCCACTTCTGATGGCAATCAAACACACAACTCTGAAAAAAAAAAGAAAAGTAAAGTGAAAAACCCACAACCCCTGAACTCCAAAACTATTCTGGAGCACATCTCTGTTAGTCACTCATGCAGATGTGCTTCAACATATGCTTCTGGTAGCTGACCTATTTCTTCTTTCTGCAATGAGATGAGAACAAGTGTCATCTGGAAATGCCTATTTCCCACCAGGGAAAGACTAACTTAGCCACAGATGTTTGCAATCCAGGCAGCTGCTTTTGATCAGATAAATCCCACACTGACGTTGTCAGAGTCACAGCATGCAGGTCAGAGTGTTCAGTAAACCCTAAAATTAAATTCTGGATTCCCCAAGCTAGTGGAGAGGGTCCTGTCCTTCCAGAGGCATTTCTTTGGCAGCCAACACCGCGTTGGGTTCTTGTGTTCAGTCTTTGCAATGAGGTAGAGAGATGCTCAGTGCAACTGTCTTCTTCATCATCTTCCCTTTCTGTTTTGCCTGGTCAGTTTTGTTTGCAGTCCTTTTGTAAACAGGATTATTTATTGACCTCTCCCTTGGGGTTCTCTGGTGTGGGGAACTTGTACAGTTGGTTTAACCTCTGAGCAAATATACTGGAATGTGTGTTAATCCATGAGTCTTTCCTGGGGTAGAGGGCTCTCCTTCCGTCAGACACAGGGAGTGAAGCCCCAAAGGCTGGCTCTGGTCTTCAAAGTTGTTTATTCCTACTTTCTGCTCTTTTCCATACCTTGAATATCGATGAACGGGGCTTGCAAAGTTGGGCATCTGCCCAATACTCACTGGTGGCAAGGCAGGGCCATGTGTCTAGGCCAGTATTTCCTCATGAGAGGGACATTTCTCCACCTGATGAGAGGAATATCTTTCCTATCTTCTCCCTGGCACCAGTTGATGACTAAATATCAACAGGCCAGCTGGGCTGAAATGTGCAACTGGCTTGAGAATGACTTTCTACAGAAGTGAATTGCTGCTGTTTGGGGGTATTTTAAGAGGGCAATAAATTCTGTAACAATAATAACAACAATATAATGATGATGATGATAATGATAATAACCCTAGGAAATGACTGACCCATTTTGTTTGACCGCAGGGGAAGCACTACATTTGGCCAGAGATTTCGGCTACACCTGTGAAACAGAGTTCCCTGCCAAGGCAGTAGGAGAGCACATTGCCAGACAGCACATGGAACAGAAAGAGCAGACAGCGAGGAAAAAGATGATCCTAGCGACAAAGTAAGGAGGGAGGGGAAGCGAAAAAAGAAATCGGTCTGTCACTTCTCCATGTTGGATCTGTGGGCTGGGGGAGGGAGGAGTGGGAGTATGGAGCTGGGATTGTGGTGACTGCTATCACAACAGCGCTCACTGACTGCGGCTGAGAGCCATCCTCCTCGGAGATGCTGAAAGGGGAACCTTATCTACTGCAGTGGGTCTTTGGTGGCTGTGCTCTCATTGCCTGTGGTTAGGGGGACACGGACATCTTTCCCAGATGCTTTGGTTTAGATGAGAACAGAGGATATTATTACATGGTAAGATCTGTAGGACAGAAACTGGCTTTGTCTCCTGTTTGTGTGTGAGCAGGAGATCTGAGCTTTTACTGAAGTGTTGGTTACTGTTGGATAATTATCATCAGTCTGCTGAGGGAGAGCTGGTTTGCAGAAGGACAGATCCTCTCTGGATGCAAACTGCAAGAGCTCCCCTGAAGTCAAAGGCACTGGAACAATGTACAACAGCAGGGGAGCTTTGCTAAAGACATTAAAGACACAAAAGAAGCATCAGACTTCACTCCAAACAAGCCACTCGTCTCCCTGGAGCAGTAACATCATGTTAGGATAACATTTCATCTAGGTTAATTAGCCTTGATGAGGGAGGAATTAGCCTTCATGAGCCATGGGAAACAAGAATAAATAGTCTGTGTGGAGTAGGTTAGACTTGCCCTAGGTGTGTGGTCTGGCTGCATGGGGTAACCTTGAACACGTTCACAGTCTGTCTGTGCTCACTGCTGTGTTATATTTGAGGCTGAAGTAGAGCTGAGACCACAAATCTGAGCTCTCAAATCATCCCCTTCATGCTGGAAGTGTTTGAAAACTCTTCTAGGCTGTGATATATCCAACAGAGTGGAATTTCCTTGTACTAGGGGAAAGGGCTGGCCAGCAGCAGGACTGTCCTTTGTATCCCAATGTCCTTCTGCTTTGGCAAGAATCTTGGCCTTGGTGTCCCTCTTGTATCCAGAGCAATCTGCCCTGACAGTGACCCAGAGATGAGATGCACTCAAGCACCTCATGCTTGTGAATCCCACGAATACAGCCTGTGATCCTTGCTGGGGGTTATAAAAGCATCACCATGTGGATCAGTGGGAATTTTTCTGGTTGTGAAGGTGATGAGAGACCTCATCTATCATGTTCCTAATTCCCCTGTGCATTAAAATGAATAATTTAAGTGGAATATTATCTTCTTCTTACCTCTGTCCATGTTTAAGGGCTCAAGGGTTTTCAGAGGCATGAGAATAAGCCAGCTGGACAGAAGAAATTCCTCTCTGCAAGTTGTGTCTCCCCATTGCTGTGTAGCCCACTAACATCCTGCCTCCTAGCTGAGGATTTGTCCCATTTACAGAACACAATTTAACCAAAATGATGCAAATCTTCCCCATATTTCTCTGGCTCTTGTGAGAAATCAGAAAGCTGTGGGTTGTGATAATTGGTGTGTCACTTTTATGTCCTGTCCCCAAAGGGTGTGCCACTCAGGGGCACATAAGGGTCCCACTACCCTTTTTCACCACCCCATACGTACTTTCTCAGCCTCCTTCACTGCTGAGATAAGATATCATGGGCTTGCACTGCCCCTAATCACCACGAACTTCGGGTTTGTAGGCTGTTATCCAGCACTCGTTAGGAACAAAATTACTTTTCCCCTCCATCCTATCAGTTAAAAGCAGCAGGAGATTGCTCAGAGAGGTCTGTCAGTAGCAGAAAGTCCACATCCTACTGCAGTCAGCGCTGGAACAGGGACAGATGGGTCAATGTGTGTGTTGCTACTGCCCTCTCCTGCCTGCAAGGAGAACAAGGATTCCCAGTCCAGGTGCTCCAGGAGACACGGCTCAATGACATCACAATATCAACAATGCATTTCTCAGCCCTGCTTCCACCCCTCTGATACAGAGCACTCTAGACAATCATCAGGAGTTCCAACTACTCACCAGCCAAACCTAAGCTCTAGGTTTGCAATTTCAGCAATTCCACAACTTCCCTGACTCATGGGCTTGGGAGTGATGACACCAGAAAATGCAGGGGTTTATTATGCTGCCACCAAAACCAACACAGAAACTCCAGGGTGGTAAGATCACTCATGGCATTTTTTTCTTTATGGAAAGAGCTGGAGTGCCACTGCCTGTGTGTGTTGCTGCAGTCCACTGTGGGACAGAGCCAGAAGCCCACAGAAGTGCTCACATGTGGGATCTTGAGGAAAAATAAGGGGAAAGAACAAAGTTATTTCCACAATCCTTAGAACGTAGGTGATGAGGGGAAAGAAAAAAGGGGAAAGGGCAAAATTATTTCCACAGTTTTTCATATCTAGGTGTATTTCCATTATGGATTTAGACATCCAAATTCATTGGCTCAATTCAGCTACCCAAATATAAGCATCTATTGCTATTTGAGTTGAACTGGGTTATCCAGTTTGGCCATGAGCTGCTGCTCCAGGGACACACAGATCTCCTTTTGTTACTGTTTTGTATCTGCCAGCAGTTATGGATGTCTTGGGTATTGCAAATCTACATGGGGGTAACTAAACAGTGCCCTAAATGTCTACAGTGATGAAGACACCAGTGTCCAGTAGGAGCTCCCAAGTATCCATGTTCCACAAAGAAAGACTCAATTGTCATGATTCTGGCCAAAGAGTACTGATATTGGCCTGTTAACCATAGAAATATAAAAAGGTTTCAGGATATGTGTTCAATTCACGTAGAAATAGAAAAAAAATAGTGGGACCTGGTTTTATAGGATCTTTAAACATGGGTTAATTGGCCTTGCAGAGGCATGGGAGAGCCTGAGAGGTTTTACAGCAGGGGACAGAACCTGACCAGTTTGCAGCTTGGACAGATGTAACACTGCTGAAGGCTGTGTCAGCCATTCCAGTTGCTGGAGAGGCACAGCATCCTACAGGAAACATTCCAGTGTTTCACAGCACAAGGTCTTCCAGCTGATCAGAGGGACAGGTACACCCACATTTACACAGACCAAACCAGAATACTGTGAATAATAGTTTTATTGTGGAGTCGATTACAGCCAGCACAGACTAATCAGCATCTGGCTCCTGACACTTCTCTGATATCTGGTCCTTGGATACCTGGCAACTCTGCCAGACTCAGAATAAATCAGATTCATGGGCTCACATTGGTCCCACTTCTGTACTCAGCACCAGGCATTTGCTTTGGCCACTGGTAGGGGTGCATGGGCTCTTGTTTTGACCCAGTACAGATTTTTTTCTCATTTTCTGATCATATACTGGATCATCTGACCATGTGTCACAAATCATCAGATGTCTCCCATGCAGGAGGGACCAGGACTATTTTTATTAATCTGTGCCCCCCTAGGACAGCACAACCATCTTCCTGTGCTTTTTCACAGTCCAGCTCAGCCAAAAACAGCCAACTCCTCTCCCTGTCACTACCCCAGGTGATATTTTACTGGTAGTGGAGGCTCTGAGACACCACTTTGCCTAGAAATCCCCTTGAAAAAAATAAGTAGGTTACTGCCTTTTACAGGTTTTCATGTATAATAAAAAAGTTTTTCCTTTTCTTTCAATCTGCCAGCATTCAGTAAAGACTTTTGACACGTGAAGATAGAAGGGAACTTAATTGCACACTTGGTTCTGTCACTTTCCTTTGTTAAAATAAAAGAACTTTTAAGATGAACTTTTTCAACAGGTAGAAAGTAGAGGTTGGAGGAAGGAGAGAAGAGCAGTGCTGACAGGGCCGAGTGGGGATAGTGGATTGTTTAGAAGCCAAAATGACTGACTGTTTTCAGTTGTTGAAAGGAACTGTTTTTCCTCTAAGGACCTGATTCATTAAAACTGTATGCTGCATTTACATACATTTCTGCTGAATACCTCTCTTTGCCTGAAAGGCTGGGGTGATGCTGTCTTTTCAAGCAGTCGGTGTCTAGGTCCATGCAGATGACAAGCATTTAGAGAAACCAGGCTTGGATGGGGTCCAGCAGCACAGCAGGAAATAGGTTTCTGCATCTCCTCTTAGCCAAAAGACAGCTATCCAAGGTCTGTGTTCCCAGCTTGCATCACTGTGATAAAATGAAGGGTAAAACTGGCTCAGCACAGTTTTCTTGTTTATAACTCAGCAGTGAAGGACCTTCTGAAGACCAGCAAGCTGAGTTCACCCACTTTTTCCATTACACACATCCCAGAAGACAGGAGTTACAAGGTGATAATGAAGAACCCAAACTTTATCTAGAACCAGGTGTGCAGTGAGTCTCCTGAAAGGAATCATGGACCACAGGGATGCTCTTTAGTATTAGGAAATCCCACCAGGCTCAGAGATTGCATCTATGCTAACAAAGTAAACCACACACACTCCGAGTCATCAGTCTGCACTTGTCCATGTTACTAAAATGTTAGAATGGCTCATTGAATTCTCCCAAATGCCTTTCAGGAAAGCCCTGGAAGACAGCCCACAACAGGGTCTATACTCCAGGAAGCCACAGGATTTAGGAGACTGGAGGAGTGTAACTATATGTGTGTTATCAGATGGTGACAAGTGGTCTGCAGGTGTGAGGGTGACCCTTGTCACTCTACACTTCATTGGGTGGCACTGTTTCCAGGCTACATGTAGTCACTGTGAGCAGTACCAGGTAAATCCAACAAAAGCCAGGGCTCCAGCTGAGTGTCATGGTCATCTGGAGGTGATCACATCCTCCTGGTCCCTGCTCAGTGCCTTTATTTCCAATAAAGGCAACGGAGAACTCTGTGCTAATTTGGACAGATCCCCTTTCCTTTTTTTAATTAACTGAATCATAAACCAAGTGAAAGTAAGTGATATCTGTTCATCCATGGTTCAGATAATGCTCTTCTGAGGACATGAGCTAAATGCAACTGATTTGGTTTCTTATTTTTAAAAGTCTGTTGGTAGAATAGTCCTAGGCTAACTTACAAACAACAATACAACAACACAAGAATGAAAAGGCCTTATTTTCAGGTCTCTCCTAGTTCTAGGTCCTATATAGAGGAATTCCAGGGAATAAATTTAACCCCCAGGTGCTGAGGCATCCTGAGAAGCCTTAGGGAAGACTGAATGGGAGAGGAAATCCATCCATCCATCCATCCATCCATCCATCCATCCATCCATCCATCCATCCATTCATCCATCCATCCATCCATCCATCCATCCATGCATTCTTTACAAAGATGGGCTACTATGCTGCTGGGAGAGAATCAGACCCTGAATTCCCACACAAGGGGTTCTTCCTTCACAGCCCCTTTGTCTTAAGGGCTGGGAGTCAAGAAGACAAGTCCCAAATATCCAGGACTTCAACTTGCAGATAAAGCAGTGCCCACAATCGACACAAGCCTGTGTACAAGTATTGGTGTATTTATACAAAATAAATAATAGAGCAATCTACACATTTCAGGCATATTCTAATGCTAAATCACCATTTCCTTTAACCATAAGCCTTGCTGCCAATGTAGGCAAGCTAAGCTAGACTTAACACTGAGAAACTGTGTCCTCTTCAGGGGAAAAATTGCATTTTAAAATGCTAGCATTAATATGGTTCCACAAGGAAAATATACCTGTTCAAGAGATTCTGTATGTTGTTGGCTGTGAGAATTTGGGGCAGGGAATCCAGAGATGCATTTCTTTGTCTTTAATTTCTGTAACAACATTTCTGTCAAGCAATTCTATTATGAATGAGATCACTCAGGATAAGGTGGCAGTGTTTTGAGAATCAGCTTTATGGGTAGGATTACACCTGTTTTATTGAAGGATTTCCATTTTCCTTTTAGACAAATATGTAAAGAATTCCAAGACCTTCTAAGTCAAGACAGATCACCCCTCGGATCCTCCAGACCAACTCCAATATTAGACCTCGACATCCAGAGACATTTAACACATTTCAGGTATGATTTTCAAAGAAGAAACTAAAAATCCATACATTTGATTTAGACTGCATATGATGTTTCAATGTTATTTGTTCCCTTACTTAAAAGACATGCAAATAATTAATTTAGATCCATAATCCCTGCTAGATGTGCCTATTAAAACTGCAGGTTTGCCCAGCAATGTAGTTCAAATTTTCTGCATTCAGCCTGCTTCTAGGACCTCAGTCTGAGATTGAATAAGATATTTTCTGCATCTACTTGTCAGATCTCCCCATTTGGCCAGGAAGCTGTCTTGCTTTAAATGTGACCCAAATCACAGCTCACAAGTGGATGGTCCAGAAGCATAGAAACTCAAGTTCTGAACCAATATGAATTAATCCAAGTAGAAATAATAGGAAGAAGAAGTTGCATCCTTTCCAATTAAATAAATAGTTCCAGAAGCACATCTATGTGACTGAGATAATTTGACAATGTCTTACCAGGACCATTTTATTAATTCTTTGGCTTCCAAAGAAGGCTGGCCTCAAAGTACATTACCTATTAAAACAATTTTACAGCACTAATTTCCAAATAACACACTGAAAAACATCTGGGAGAATGAAAGCTCACTCACACTAAACAGCCAGATTGGTGATATATTTAGATTCAGTTTTTGAACAATATTTAATGTCCTGGTTTAAACAGGCTGTTTTGAAGACAAAGACCCAAGGCACATACACACCAAGTCCAAACTCCATTAGAATTTTATCCTAGTTATGTGTAAACGTCTATAGATGTTTTGGGGTCAGAAAGATTTATTAGCTCAGGAGTTGCTGTGCAATTTCACGTTTTTGCTTTAGGCAATGTGTCAGATACACTCGAGAGTGAGATGAGAACTTCCAAAGGGCCACTTTGAAATAGTGGGGTCATCTAAGATATCTCTCAAAGATAAGTTTGATGAAACATCCTGGAGATGCTCCTGTCTTTGCTCAGGCCACAGAGGCTGACTTGCTGAGGCTACAGATTGTTAATTTTTTCAATCCACTAGCTGAAATATGGAAAAACATGCAAAGAACTGTTCCAGAGAGTTGTTTACAGACCATAATATTAAGCAAGTTTCACAGCCCTATAAAGACTTAGAATTGTGTTGTATACTCTTTAGCACAGCCAGCTGAGACACTCTTCCTTCGTTGGCTGGAAAGACAACATCTGTGTCCCAATGTGCCAACATCTGTTAGTTATTAACATCCTGATAGGCACTGTGATAACTGATGTTTAGTCTCTCACACTTTGAGTGGAATCCTAAAAATTCCCACCACCCCATTCTTTCATACATCTGCTGGGGTGTGGAGAGGCAAGAGTAATTCCCCATCCACTGATGCACACATTCCTGACATTCCTGTTTATTCTTCCACACATCTGTGTGCATCCTATGTGTGTATGAACACACCTAGACAACTTATTCCTCTTCTCAAGCTCTGCTATGCATTTGTGTGTGTGTATTTTCCATGATACACACTCCAAAACACCCAACTCCATGTGCACATCAAGAGAAACATCCTTATTTGTGCAGAATGCTCATAGAGGGATTTTAATGAGCAACCTAAGCTTGTGGAGAAAGAGATAATTCCCTATTATTATTACATGTGCACAGAGGAAATGTGATATGAGGTGGCTAATCCCCAAGGATTCCTGTGTTTAAAGTAGAAATAGCAGTCAGGATAAAATGCTGAAGGTTTCAGATACAAAACTGTCAGCTGGTACAGCTCCCATCCTTCCTTCTCTGCTGCACTTCAGTAGGCTGGAGGGCAAAACTTCTGCAGGCAGCTCCTGGACCAGTCAGTATTTCCTTTCATGCCTGCTGCAGGCACTAAGTGTTGGACTGAAGATGGGCACCTGGAGGAGAACAGGCCTTGGTCCTACACAGGGTCTTCCCTGGCCTTAAATTAGAGTCTTCTCTGATTGTGCTCAGGGAATGATGAGTGCTGCCAGACCCAGAGGTGGAGCTGAGACCATATTCCTTTTCCAGCTAGTGTAGAGGTGCTGGGGTCAGATCAGCTTCCAACCCGGACTTCTGCCTCCACTGCAGCCAGCTGTACATCTTCTGCCATCGTGTCCACTCAGCTCACCTGCATAGCCCAAGAAATCTGACTTAATCAGGTCTAATAAAGATGTCTACATCAGTGTAACTATAATTTCTCTCTAAACTCCATTGGCTGAACATTCTGGTCTAGATCTCCACCAGAATGGGAGATCAGCCAACCAGTACACAGTAGACACTTACACTGTGGACAGCTAAACCTAATGTAGGCAAAAAAAATCATAATTCCCATCCCCTAAATCCACCAGTCCTCACAGCCAGATTGTCTCAACCCCTACTTGTTTGCTTGAGATTAAATATCTTGGGTTTGGAAGGGACCTTAAATCTCATCTTATTCCAGTGCCCTGCCATGGGGAAGCTAGGGTCTCTAATGTCCCTTCCAACCCAAACCATTCCAGGATTCTATGATATGATGTCAGAAATCTGAAGGGATTTTTTATGACCATAAAGAAATCAGAGGAATCACATAAATGTCTATTATTAAAATAAGTTCTAAGATATTAAAAGACTTTTTGAAGAGCCCTAACATCAGATCTCTACAGTGGAATTGGATCCAGACTCTACTACAGTGGGGTGAAAGAGTTTTCTTTAGGAATAAATTCCCTACTGTTCACTGTAGAGCTGTGTATTCCACTGTCTCGTGATGTTACTTGTTCTATGTTAATAATTAAGACCAGGGTTTACAGCCTGGCACAGGTCAGATAGAAGCAGCTTCTTACCCACTTTCTCTGTCTTAAATCTCCAAGTTCACACTTCTCTCTGAAGTTTTTCCACTGAGTATTAGTTCACCGAGATCTGTAAATGTGTCCAACCTGGAGTACAGCATGGCCCCATGAAGGGATCAGAAGTGCTGGGTTTGCTCAAACTCCAAACTCAAAGTTCACACAAAGCACAGAACAGGAAATCTTCAAAGGAGCTGACAGTGAGCCTGAAAGCTTCTGGATTTTGCACAACCTTATGCAAAAAACCAGAAACTCTTGTGCACCCCTGTTTGTGCAGCTGCTGTCTGAGATGTTCTGAATTCAAAAACTCAGTGTTCCATGAGGAATGATTTTCCAATATTATTCAAGCATGAACAGATGATTTAGACCCATAAATTTATAGCAGCAAATATTTTGCACTACCTGGGCCAGGGTCATTTTATGGTTTTTTTTCATTCAACATTTTCCCTTTTCAATACATTTTAGAGGATCTTACTGCAGGGAAGTTACTTTGGTAACTTCACTTGTCAGTATGTTGTTGAAGTTATATTGCTACCTTCAAATAACTTCAAGTATATTGATACAAGCAGATAAAAGCAGTGCTAGAGAAGAGGCATTGGCCACCTGTGCTTCTCTTTACCTGCAGAATTTCCGGGTTTTTTTCTGCCTAGTCTAACCAAGAACTAATCNTCCAGTAAGTTCTGGTTAGGGTAGGAGCAGCTGCAGGGTAACAGGTTTTTGGATTAAAGGAACAATTATTTATCTGGCATAAAGGGTGCACATACTGGCTTAACCTGGCAAGGAGATGAACTTTAATATGACACTGATTTCAGTACAGTCTCACTCGTTATAAAATCTAGAGACTCATTGAAGTAAATAAATATGTACACAGTGCTACTGTTTTCTTGACACGTATATATATATACACGTGTGTATATGCATTGTGTGGCAGATGCCAAACAAACAGATCTATTCAGTGTTAACGCTCCTCACAAATGTACCTGACAGACCAGAAGTTTGAAAATGTCACTTGAAAATATTTACAGGTTTCTGGGAAAAAAAAAAAAAGAAAGAAAACCCACCGAAGAAAACCCAAACACACCAAAACAACACAGACCCAAAATTATTTCAGGCGTGTGGCGCCAGATTTCTGTGTTTGAGCGTATGAGCTCATTAATTGTAGCTTTGAGCTGTGTAAAAATGTGCATCAGTGCCCTTGATGTGCCTATATTTTGGTGATGCACGAATTGTCTCTATATCCTGTCTAAGAAGTGGACACTAATATCTGCCCTGGAACATAATTAGAAGTCATAAAATACCCTGCTGTACTGAGTCAGGATCTCACCCATCTGGGATTGATACCAAGAGATGTTCTTTTCTGGTTTTGCTGTCAGCACAAATGTTTAAATATACCTTCAAGAGCTGAAATATTTGGAAAGAAATTCTGTTTCCTTATTGCCTTATGTAAGCAAGCAATAGTCTGCATTTAATGAAGGTTCATCCTTCAGTCTGTCTCTGTGAGAAGTGAAACAGACACCTTAATTTTAAGAGGGCTGCATGTGTAAATTGATAAAGAAAAAGGTGTAGGATCTTGTCTAAAACAAGCTTGTAATTATAATTATTCTATTCTATTCTATTCTATTCTATTCTATTCTATTCTATTCTATTCTATTCTATTCTATTCTATTCTATTCTATTCTGTTCTGTTCTGTTCTGTTCTGTCCTGTCCTGTCCTGTCCTGTCCTATCCTATCCTATCCTATCCTATCCTATCCTATCCTATCCTATCCTATTCTATCCTATCCTATCCTATCCTATCCTATCCTATTCTCACAGAATTTAGGTTAGAAGCTAAAATTTTTAAGTGCAAAAAAGTGAGTTTTGTAGTTAAAAAGATTAAGGTGTTCACAGGAAAGAAAGAAATTATCAGGGTATCTTAAAAGGGACAGTATGTTTCCTTTAAGCATGAGTGATGAACACAGATTAATTCTGCTCTAAGACTGCTCTAAGAAGGTCTTCATATCATCATCCTCAGATAAACCATCTGAACTCCTCCTAGTAGTGCATTGAATTATATGATATTTTGTATCACTGTCATATGCAGCTCCTTTTTTTTCTCGTTCCCCCAGGGAATAACGGTGCATGCAGTGGTAAGATTTATTTCTTCCATAGAAAATTTTTTGTTGTAGTCATGTTGGAGAAGGCAGGTCAAAGAAAAGTGTTTTGTGCTTGGTGAAAAAATATGTGTTAGTCCTTAAGATTATTTCTTTTTTTTTCCCTGGGAGTTTGTTCTTTTCTCTTGGATCAGTTGCAGAGAAAGTTTTCTCTCTTTCTCTCCCTCATATTAACTTTAAGTTAAAAGCTCAGTTTTGCCTGAGGAGTTATTGATCACAGTCTTGACTGAAAGATTTGGTGATCATTCAGCAGTTTTAGACCCAGGCCAAGGAATTGCCACTCTCAAGAAATAAACAATTGCAGAGCTAACCTGAGATAAACTGATGTAGCTCAATAGATTTTAATCGTTAATATCAGCTGAGGATTTGACCTAACTTTGGAAGGAATTTATGAGTTCAAAGGTGTGGAAAGCTGTTCTTGCTGCAAATCACTGCAAACCCATAGCATTCTTGAATCTTTGTAATCCTAAATTCTGCTATGAGAGTTAAATTTAACATTTCTCATTAGAACCAACATCCTAATATTTTCACAAACTGTGGGGTTTTTTTAAGTGGTGAGGCTTCAATCTTATTTTGTTAATCACACTGGGTTGGAGAGACCTTAGTGATAACAGTAATTTTTCAGAGCATGAAATCAAATAACCATTACAAGGTGTTTTGACTGTAAAACTTATGAGATCTAATAATTCACTGTTCCCACACTGAAATCCCAACACATTCATTTTTCTCAAAACAATAATGTCATAGAAAGCCAAACCACCTTTGTGGGAAAAACCAAACCCAAACAAAACCAGCCACAAGAGAACTACAGAGCTGTTCATCGTTTGGTTTGTCAAAACACAGAAGAGGAGGTTTCCCTCACTTCAATATTTCAATTTTTTTTTTGTAGGTGGCACCTGTGTTGTCAACCCCACTGACCTGTTCTGCTCCGTTCCTGGTCGCTTGTCTCTGCTCAGCTCCACTTCCAAGTACAAAGTGACCATTGCAGAGGTGAAGAGGCGCCTTTCACCACCAGAATGCCTCAACGCTTCCCTCCTTGGAGGTATTTTGAGAAGGTAAGTTGAAGGTGAGGATTACAACTCCTAGACAATGCTGTAATTGCTGTATTTTTTATTATTATTATTATTATTTTTAACAGATAGGCTTTATTTTTTTTCCCTGCTTGGATAGGTGGCATATTTGGGGTGAATAGAAGGGGATGGATCAGGAAGGAACACTGGAGAATTTTCAGTAAATTAACAAATTTACATTTTTCATCAAACTGATTTTTTTTTTTTCCTCTTCTCTTCAGTTACTCATCAGGCATGGATAGATATTGCTTTGATTTGTTTTGAGAAAAAAAAAAAAAATCAGCTAGTGGAAAATTTCACCAGAGCTACAAATCTAAATTCTTGCTGAGAACCTATCTCAAAGTAAATAATTTTATAATAGTTACAGCCCTCACTCCACCAAAAAAATAAAACACTGAGGTGTTTTTTTCTTCCTCTGCATGTTTTTTGAGCACAACAAAGACAGGATAATCTGGTTTTACTTTTCTTGTTGTGAGATATTCGGGGAGAAGTGAAAAATTAGGCAAAATTTTGCCTCTGACCCTTCACTGGCCAGAGCAGACACCTGCAGAGAGCAGGAGCAGAAAGAAGGAAAGGGGCAGACTGTGCCTCACATTGCAAGTGGAAAACCAGGAGGCAACTGTAATTCAGGCAGGCATATCTAAGTCACGGTGTCCCCGAGGCATCAGCTCAGATGGCATCAGCTGCTTGAACACCCTTTGATCAAAACTAGCTGGAAAGTCATCGGTTATTTCACTGCTGGCACTGAAGGCCACACTGATCCTCCTGCTTATACTGAAAGTCATTTTAACCAGCCTGAGACGTGCAGGCACTCAAGAGCTGTCCTGAGACATCTCGGAGAATAATGACTATAGACCATAAACTGTTTTCAAGGCATAAGTTCCCTTTAACCGTCTCTATGAGTGTTGAAATCCAAAATCAACATCCACCAAAATTTTTCCCCTCTGTTTGCTTCATCCTGGGGAAACCTTCAGTTAATTTTCATTTTAAATGCTCATGCTGCAGGTTTCATCAATACAGTGCAAGTTATTTTGGATTCAAAGGCATCAACTTGAATGTGGGGGCTCACTTGTCTCCTGCGTTAAAATGCTTGAATAATCCCCACAGGTTTTTGATCCAGATTAAATATCTCCTCTCCCAAATTAACCCTGGGCATGGTTCAGGAGTTTGCAAAAACCAGGGGCTCCTCCCTGTCTGCAGTTTGGATGTGCTAATACTTTTAGAATCAGAAAGAGCAATGGAACATATTCAGTCGATTTGTAACTGAGGGTTTCACAGCTAGAGAACAGGCTCAAACACTCTGTATTTGACCAGGAAAGATGTAGGAAAACAAAATCTCATGGATTGTTTCCCTGAGACCTTGAAGGCTAGTTTTGCATCCTGTCAGCAGTCACTGCTTACCTATTTTCCTAAATAGCTTGCTTTCAGAATAAAATGTTCTTCCGAAAAAAGAAAAAAAATATTTTCAGAAGTTATTTCATGACAAACAATGTGGCCAAAGTTGTGATGTTTTTTAATAAATAAAAACATAAAACCAGGCATCCAAATGGTGATATTCTCTATTTGGTTCCTTCCTCTCCCTGAAGGAACTTGAATATGAACCTCAAAATATTTAGTTATTTATTTTTATTACTCAGTGATTGCTTTTTCTAAGCTGAAAGCCCCTCAATCTTGTTTGGAGTTAATTGTGTAAATTATGTGTTTCTCAAAAAGCAAAGGTATAGATTCTTATCTAATTAATGGACAGGTAATTCACTTGAGATGGGAGATATCAGAGTTCCAGTCACTGTTTTATTCATTGTTTAAGCATTTTAACAGTTGTTATTTTCTGTCAGCTGGCTGCTGCATCTGTTTGAAAGATACAGGTTAAAATTCCCTCAGGCTGAGGAAGAATTTGAACCTACATCAGCTGCATAAGTGGATTTGTCTCAAATGCTTCAAACACTGAGGTGCTGCAGAAAAGCAGCTGGGACACACCAGGACCCATTTTGTGAGAACAAAGGGATGTAGGTGTTTGGCACAGGGGCACAGATAACCAATTATGGCTGAGATTTTAGCTTCAGCATTTCCTGTTGCCTTGACCATCTTTCTTGTGATTTTTTGGATTTGAAGACATTTCAGAGTACCCAGGTCTCTACATAAATTATAGAGGGATAGTTAGAGCTGGGTTCCACATAGACATCTACATTTAAGCAGCTATCTGGCTTCCTTTAACAGCCAGACAAGCCACATGAGTAAAGTTCACTCATTGTGGATATCTGTTTAACTCTAGAAGGTCATGTTTCTTTCTAATTTGTCTTTGGAGCCTGGCTTGGCTAAATCAGATATAAATGTTTGCACTGTCAATATTTATATTTAGTCACTGAAATCCCAGGTGCCATGCCCAAATCAGGACTCTGGGCTCCACTAGGTGGAAAGCTGCCTGAAGATCTGATGCCCCCATGACAAGCATTAAAATCTCTAACTCTGCCAAAGAACTGATGTTAAAGAATCACCTAGAGCAAGCAGGATATTAAGAATACAGCTCTGAAATATTTCCCATTGAAGTCACTACTGCAGTAACTACCCCACATATTTGCCAATGAAGTGTGTGCAGTTTCTAGGCTTATATTAACATAGGAGAAAGGTGCAGAGTAATGACAAGTCCCTCTTTCCTGCTGTTCTCTCGTGACAGAGCAAAATCCAAGAACGGAGGACGCTGCTTGCGAGAAAAATTAGACAGACTTGGACTGAATTTGCCTGCAGGAAGAAGAAAAGCAGCAAATGTCACACTTCTGACTTCCCTGGTAGAAGGTAGGGTTTCTAATATTGCAATATAATAAAATCATAATTAAAATGTTTCATGGCATGCAACCCTTTTCAGCCATAGGGTTAAATCCCATAATCTGTATTTTGTATAAGGAGACCTGACTTGCCTAAAGCCACAGATAGAGTGGGTGGCAAAATGGAAGTGTGCTCGGAGATATCTTGGCCCCCAGCAAGTGTCTTGGTCCTGCAGTTTCCTCAGCATTGATTTATGCTTACAAATCGATCATCTGAGTGTTCTTGTGAGAGAGATGAATGTCTTATACCAACTCTATAAGTAGGTTTGTTTATCCTCCTTTTTTAAATTTTTTTTAAACTTGTGAATTTCCTGGAGCTGGTCCAAAAATGTGATGGGTTTTTTTTTTCTCCCATAAGAAAGCATAATATTTAGACAAGCCTTTTCCCCACACACACAAATGAATGAAATCTGTTTTCAGATAATATCTAGACAGGCTCAGGAGATACTTTCTTGGCCTTTATTTGTTGTTTAAATATCATTCACCAAATACTGCCAGGCTCTTCACACCTTCAGCTGGGAGATGCAGGTTCAAACCCCTCAGGCAAAGGGAGGAAACTCTACCTGCATTTCTTCTGTTCTGGGTGAATCCACTAAGTACCCAGTTTGTTGTTTGGCTGCCAGTAGCAGCTCTGGGAATTTCAGATCCCTCCTCCTTGATGTTGAGAGAACTCAGCTCATCCTAAAGGTCAACACCTTCTCCAATCACAGCCTGAAAGGTCCATACACATCTAGGCAAGTAGGCTGAGGTCTCGGAATTACAGAATTACAGAATTACAGAAGGATTGAGGCTGGAGGACACCTCTGGTGATCTCCCAGGCCAATCCTCCTGCTCAAAGCAGGGTCAATTAGAAGAGCTTGCTCAGGACTTTGTGAGTTTTTTTATTATCTCAAAGGATGGAGACTCTTCAAGGCAGAAATAGCATTGAATCCTCAGCACTGGAAGTTTTCAGCATCTCTGAAAAAGGACTGAGATTTTCAGGGGTCACTGAGCACAAGAAAGTCAACGAGGCTGCTCTGAAGTACAGGTGTGTCCATATCACACCTGCTTGCAAGAGAAAGCTCTTATGGAGCTACAGCCTTAAGAAAGGTACTAAAAATAGAGGAGTAAGGGCTGTTCCCACCTTCAGGCATCTCATGTCAGGGAAGAATAGACACAGCTGGCTATTATTAGTAAGCAGAGCAATGGCTTTAAGCTGAAAGCTGGAAAGAGGAAGAAATCCTTCCCTGTGAGGGTGGTGAGGCCCTGGCACAGATTTCACAGAGGAACTGTGGCTTCCCCATCCCTGGAATTCCCCAAGGCCAGGTTGGACAGGGCTTGGAGCAGCCTGGGACAGTGGAAGATCTCCCTGCCCATGGCAGGGTGTGGAGCTGGAGGATCTTTTTGGTTTCTTCCAACCCAGACCATTCCATGATTCTGGGATTCTATGTGACCAGTTATTCATTCATCAGAGGAGACTGAGAGAGAGGTAGGTGTCTGCTGGCCTGGGGCTGATGGCTGAGTGGCTTTACTGTAAGTCAGGGTCAGATTCCTGCTTCCCAGGAATGGAGCTGTGCCCACCTCCCTGCCCTTTATTCAAAGCAAACCTGGTATCCAGCCTGCGGTGTTGCTTCTTTTCTTGGACTGCCTTGCTGGGAGTCCTAAAGATAAATGCTGATAAATGTGCCTGAGCTCTCTTTGCAGAGACCTTTTTTCCTGGATATGGTAACCATGAATTTTATCCAATGGAATTTTTGGGAATGGCATCACCATGTTAACATTCCAACAGAAAACTAAGTGAAGCTCATTTCCTGTCTGTGTAACCAATTCTGTGTCAAACTTAGCAGTGCTCATTGGGTTCTTGGTGGTATAAGCTGTTCTTACTTTGGGCATGCAGATATTCCTTCCAGGTGGAACTAACTTAGAACACAATTTCTTCAAGGGAAACCATCTTTCAATGGCTCCTGCTGCTGGAGAGGGCAGAATGGAAGGACACAGGCTTCTGTGGTTTAGAGAACCCAGAAAAAAAGCAACACGAGCTTTCATTGTGCAATAGCAATACAAAAATTGAAACAAAAATAATCTTTTAGTTTTATTAAATCTCTAAAATATCAGGTACACAGAGTGTACCTCTCATAAGGACCCAGGATTGTGTCGCTCTTGACTTCTTTAGATGGTTCTAAATTTATTATTGCTGAAGGTCCTCACAGTTGTCAATATATTGAGGTTTTAATATCTCTTTAAGGTGAAAGAGCGCCCAACCTCTTGAGTATCTCTGTGATTTAAGATAAGGCAAAATTAGTTGCATGATTATTGTGTTTATTCACCAAAACCAAGTAAAAAAATCTCAGGCATGACTAATACTCCTCTTCCTCTAAAACATACTGAAATCATTGAGTTTTGGGGAGTCTGTTAAGCTCAAGGAGGAACTGCAATTTCTTTTTAGGCTGTGGCTATCGCATGAAGGTCCAGATTTTATGAAAATTATCCTGTGGCCTCCTGTTTCCTGGGAAGTTTTTTTTTCTTTTGGAGTTCTGTTTTGCTGCAGGATGTTTACTGTTGGCTTGATCAGGTCGCATCTTTAGAGTCTTTGGTAGAGACATCTTCGGCCCAAAATAGGAATCGTTTGACAGATGAGTCCTGTTCTCTTTGTCATCCACATAAATCAGCGCAAGGAGTGGAAAAGCAGACAGGGAGAAGGAAGTCAGAACTCTCCCGAGCAGTTTGGGGACACATCTTTGTGTAACCTGCAGGCGAGGGATGCCCTCTAGTGCCTGGACTAGATCGAGGGAAAGGTCATTTTTCTTCCGAGCTCCAGAAGGAAAATTCCAACGTATTAGCTGCAAAATAAAGGCTCCTCGAATAAATATAGTTATTTCCAAGTCCAAGCTTTACTCTGGGCTCAAAAGGGTCTAAAGCTTCTCCAGTGGGAGTAAAGAAGGATGTGAAAAGAGGGGAGATGTCCCCTTCTGTTTGAATGGGTCACTTACAAAACATAAATGTGATTGCAGATGCAGGTAAAAGCAGTGCATGAATGATTTTTAAACCGTCAGATAAAAAAAAAATAATAATAATAAAAAAAATCTAGAATTTGTTTTCCTGTCAAACCTGATTAAGACACTAAATTTCCTAGACACAGAATTAATGACATTCATCATTTGGGGACAAAAACTCTTGAGAAAAAATAGGTCAGTGGTTTCTTTTTTCATCGTGCTCTCAACTATCACACTTCTCCCCCACCAGCCTTTGTTTAAATATCCTTCCACTTGTTCCTCCTCCCTTCTCACCCTACAAATAGAATAAACTTTCCTTCCACCTCCTGCCTGTCCCTCCTCCCCCTGAGTAACATTTCTGCTGGGTTGAGCATCCGGAGGAGGCACAGGCGAGGAGAGAGTGGGAGGTTCAGATGCCGAGTGTCCCTCTCCTGGGGACACAGCTCCTGCCTTCCCTGTGCACAGGAGCATCTCTCACTCCTGCTGGCCCCGGGGGAGCCTCACCCCTCCTGCACCTGCCCACGGAAACCTTCCGAGCTACTCGGCTGCTCTCCCCAGCGAGGCTTCCAGAGCTGTCTCTGCCGATTCTGCCCCGGTAATTGTCCTTTTCCATCGTGCGGAGCTCTCTGGTCAATTGTCAAGGTGTGGAGAGGCAGCGCTGCCAGGAGCTGCAGAGCCCTGTGCTGGCTTTGGGAGAGCAAATTCCCAACATCTGCTCTTTACCGCGGCAGGAGGAAAGAGCTGGGGGCATCAACCACGGGGAAATTTGATTTTAGGTTGAATTTAGTTTGAAACAGGGAATTAACTATAAAAGTCAGGGATTTTAGGCGTTTCTACCTTTATCATGATTTCTACTCTGGTGTAATTAACAACTAGGCAGGTGAAAGAAAGGTGGAAGAAAAAAGATCAGTTCATCCACATTTCCAACATTTACACATTTCCCCCCCGAAGTAAATGTTTATCCAAATTATGCTGTAGGAAAAGAAAGAACATATTTTATGACATTTTATATAAACTACTTTCTCCTACCAAGCAGACTTAATCCTACTGTACAGTAATCAAAGGGACACCTATCCACAAAAACACAAATATATCACACTTCTAAATATCAAATCATCATTTGGTCCTGGTTTAAAATTACATCTTTGCTTAACAATGAGATAGGAGAAATTATGCTCTGCAGAGTGTTCTCAATTCCAAATTTTTATTTTTATTTTGAATTTACCTACTCCTTATAGTATATTCATGCTTATATGAATAAATACACATAACTCTAACATGCATTTGTAGTATACATGAACTTTCCATCAAAAAATATTTTAAATTTTAATTTGAAGTATTTTAATTATTTCATTAAAAACCATAATTTCATTTGTATTTACATCTTTACCAATCTATATCCATGAAGACATCAGTGATTTTGTTTCCTTTTGCTCAAATGCTTTTATATCACAATCACAATCCCAGCTCCAGACAGGTTTGATACTTTTGAATAATTTTCTCAGATTATCAGAACAGTTAACATCATTTTCTCAGCTCTAGCAAATACTATAAACCTTAAAATAAATATAAATTTGAGTGACAATTCACATTTTCATTCCCTTTTTTCTAGCAGTAAGTAGAAACATTCACATTTCAGTCACTTAGTTGTTGATCACATTAAATGAATGCCTACATTTCAACACAAAAAGCTCTGCTCTCTTGAAGAATCCAAGACTTTTCCAATGGCTAAATATTTAAATTCTTTGCTGTCTACATTCCTTGTATTGTTGCTGGGGCTGACTGGGACCATGATAAAGCTGTCTGGAGAATTGCAATTTCACCTGATGACAGCTTCAAAGTGATTGACTTTTATTTTCTTTCCATGCTGGAATGAAGATAAACCTATCAAGTATTTTAACAGAATTTAGTTGAAAAGAAAAACCTGGTGCTCTTCTGAAATTGATTTACTCTGTAAGTTTTTATTTAAGGAAGATTAAAAGCATATCTGAAATAGACACTTCGAATATAGACTATATAATAGAATATATATATGAATATATAATAGACACTACAGAAATATAAAAGCTATGGCTTAAATTTGTACCCTTTCTCACCCACAAGGAAATCTGGGATAGATGTTTGAAACACAGAGCAATCAGTCAGTTCTGTGCCTGTTCATTCTGATTCTCTGTTAACTTATCACTGAAATACATTTTGTTTTCACTGAAAATTATTTTACTTTTCTAGAAGCTGCGAACTAAGTGGAAACTGTTTCTCTTTTCAGCTCAGAGATACTGATTGCTTGTTAACATCTTCATTCTTTTTAGGAATACTGCAAATCATGTTTGAAAAAAAAAAATCCAAAGAAAGCAGATGATTTTGACTATAATCTTCAATTTTTTGCTGTAAAGTTGGTTACAGCTGCAGAGGTTGTAGCTGGCTGGTATCAGCAAACAGATTGTCTGGGAGTGGTGCACGGATTTTGTCAGTACCTGAATAAACTGGGGCAGAAGAACACACAGGAAAATATTTTCTTGTGGAATCAAAAGGTGTTTTTTCCATAGAAGCTCCTTTGGTAGAAGGGGAGACAAAATATATGTCTCAATGATATCTCAAAAGGGGGAGAAATGAGTTGGGATAGAGGTCAGTGCACACAGTTTCTTATTCCTCATACTGTCCCTGGCACAGGACCGCTGTTTCCATGGAACTTCTCTTCCTTGGCTTAACCAAGCCTGGCTGAGGATGGGATTCATCTCCCCACCTTCATTGCAGTTGCACATTCTCATGTCAGATCACAGTAAATAGGGAGAAATCACCACTTCTGGGTGTTTAATGATTTAACTATTAAATGGAGTTAAATTAATAATAGTTTTATTATGTTGCTCAGAAGAGCTGTGGCATTTCCATAGTTGGAAACATTCAAGACTAGGCTTGGAAAAGCCTTGAATAACCTTATCTGAGGCAATGTTGTCAGCAGAAGGTGATTTCCTGAGTTCTTATCTAGACTTTCCATAATTCCTCTGAGTCCCTTTTGCCTTCTACTCTAGTACAGTATGATACATGCTTCAATACTTCCATTGATTTGAAAGTATTAAGTCCAACATCAATATTGACATTTAATCTGATGAATTCCACTGCAGATATTCTCAAAGAGAGGAGTTACATGTCCTTTATCCCTCCTGACAACAACAGCCTTTGGTACTTCAAAGAGCCGGAGTCCAATGCCACTTCTGATGGCAATCAAACACACAACTCTGAAAAAAAAAAGAAAAGTAAAGTGAAAAACCCACAACCCCTGAACTCCAAAACTATTCTGGAGCACATCTCTGTTAGTCACTCATGCAGATGTGCTTCAACATATGCTTCTGGTAGCTGACCTATTTCTTCTTTCTGCAATGAGATGAGAACAAGTGTCATCTGGAAATGCCTATTTCCCACCAGGGAAAGACTAACTTAGCCACAGATGTTTGCAATCCAGGCAGCTGCTTTTGATCAGATAAATCCCACACTGACGTTGTCAGAGTCACAGCATGCAGGTCAGAGTGTTCAGTAAACCCTAAAATTAAATTCTGGATTCCCCAAGCTAGTGGAGAGGGTCCTGTCCTTCCAGAGGCATTTCTTTGGCAGCCAACACCGCGTTGGGTTCTTGTGTTCAGTCTTTGCAATGAGGTAGAGAGATGCTCAGTGCAACTGTCTTCTTCATCATCTTCCCTTTCTGTTTTGCCTGGTCAGTTTTGTTTGCAGTCCTTTTGTAAACAGGATTATTTATTGACCTCTCCCTTGGGGTTCTCTGGTGTGGGGAACTTGTACAGTTGGTTTAACCTCTGAGCAAATATACTGGAATGTGTGTTAATCCATGAGTCTTTCCTGGGGTAGAGGGCTCTCCTTCCGTCAGACACAGGGAGTGAAGCCCCAAAGGCTGGCTCTGGTCTTCAAAGTTGTTTATTCCTACTTTCTGCTCTTTTCCATACCTTGAATATCGATGAACGGGGCTTGCAAAGTTGGGCATCTGCCCAATACTCACTGGTGGCAAGGCAGGGCCATGTGTCTAGGCCAGTATTTCCTCATGAGAGGGACATTTCTCCACCTGATGAGAGGAATATCTTTCCTATCTTCTCCCTGGCACCAGTTGATGACTAAATATCAACAGGCCAGCTGGGCTGAAATGTGCAACTGGCTTGAGAATGACTTTCTACAGAAGTGAATTGCTGCTGTTTGGGGGTATTTTAAGAGGGCAATAAATTCTGTAACAATAATAACAACAATATAATGATGATGATGATAATGATAATAACCCTAGGAAATGACTGACCCATTTTGTTTGACCGCAGGGGAAGCACTACATTTGGCCAGAGATTTCGGCTACACCTGTGAAACAGAGTTCCCTGCCAAGGCAGTAGGAGAGCACATTGCCAGACAGCACATGGAACAGAAAGAGCAGACAGCGAGGAAAAAGATGATCCTAGCGACAAAGTAAGGAGGGAGGGGAAGCGAAAAAAGAAATCGGTCTGTCACTTCTCCATGTTGGATCTGTGGGCTGGGGGAGGGAGGAGTGGGAGTATGGAGCTGGGATTGTGGTGACTGCTATCACAACAGCGCTCACTGACTGCGGCTGAGAGCCATCCTCCTCGGAGATGCTGAAAGGGGAACCTTATCTACTGCAGTGGGTCTTTGGTGGCTGTGCTCTCATTGCCTGTGGTTAGGGGGACACGGACATCTTTCCCAGATGCTTTGGTTTAGATGAGAACAGAGGATATTATTACATGGTAAGATCTGTAGGACAGAAACTGGCTTTGTCTCCTGTTTGTGTGTGAGCAGGAGATCTGAGCTTTTACTGAAGTGTTGGTTACTGTTGGATAATTATCATCAGTCTGCTGAGGGAGAGCTGGTTTGCAGAAGGACAGATCCTCTCTGGATGCAAACTGCAAGAGCTCCCCTGAAGTCAAAGGCACTGGAACAATGTACAACAGCAGGGGAGCTTTGCTAAAGACATTAAAGACACAAAAGAAGCATCAGACTTCACTCCAAACAAGCCACTCGTCTCCCTGGAGCAGTAACATCATGTTAGGATAACATTTCATCTAGGTTAATTAGCCTTGATGAGGGAGGAATTAGCCTTCATGAGCCATGGGAAACAAGAATAAATAGTCTGTGTGGAGTAGGTTAGACTTGCCCTAGGTGTGTGGTCTGGCTGCATGGGGTAACCTTGAACACGTTCACAGTCTGTCTGTGCTCACTGCTGTGTTATATTTGAGGCTGAAGTAGAGCTGAGACCACAAATCTGAGCTCTCAAATCATCCCCTTCATGCTGGAAGTGTTTGAAAACTCTTCTAGGCTGTGATATATCCAACAGAGTGGAATTTCCTTGTACTAGGGGAAAGGGCTGGCCAGCAGCAGGACTGTCCTTTGTATCCCAATGTCCTTCTGCTTTGGCAAGAATCTTGGCCTTGGTGTCCCTCTTGTATCCAGAGCAATCTGCCCTGACAGTGACCCAGAGATGAGATGCACTCAAGCACCTCATGCTTGTGAATCCCACGAATACAGCCTGTGATCCTTGCTGGGGGTTATAAAAGCATCACCATGTGGATCAGTGGGAATTTTTCTGGTTGTGAAGGTGATGAGAGACCTCATCTATCATGTTCCTAATTCCCCTGTGCATTAAAATGAATAATTTAAGTGGAATATTATCTTCTTCTTACCTCTGTCCATGTTTAAGGGCTCAAGGGTTTTCAGAGGCATGAGAATAAGCCAGCTGGACAGAAGAAATTCCTCTCTGCAAGTTGTGTCTCCCCATTGCTGTGTAGCCCACTAACATCCTGCCTCCTAGCTGAGGATTTGTCCCATTTACAGAACACAATTTAACCAAAATGATGCAAATCTTCCCCATATTTCTCTGGCTCTTGTGAGAAATCAGAAAGCTGTGGGTTGTGATAATTGGTGTGTCACTTTTATGTCCTGTCCCCAAAGGGTGTGCCACTCAGGGGCACATAAGGGTCCCACTACCCTTTTTCACCACCCCATACGTACTTTCTCAGCCTCCTTCACTGCTGAGATAAGATATCATGGGCTTGCACTGCCCCTAATCACCACGAACTTCGGGTTTGTAGGCTGTTATCCAGCACTCGTTAGGAACAAAATTACTTTTCCCCTCCATCCTATCAGTTAAAAGCAGCAGGAGATTGCTCAGAGAGGTCTGTCAGTAGCAGAAAGTCCACATCCTACTGCAGTCAGCGCTGGAACAGGGACAGATGGGTCAATGTGTGTGTTGCTACTGCCCTCTCCTGCCTGCAAGGAGAACAAGGATTCCCAGTCCAGGTGCTCCAGGAGACACGGCTCAATGACATCACAATATCAACAATGCATTTCTCAGCCCTGCTTCCACCCCTCTGATACAGAGCACTCTAGACAATCATCAGGAGTTCCAACTACTCACCAGCCAAACCTAAGCTCTAGGTTTGCAATTTCAGCAATTCCACAACTTCCCTGACTCATGGGCTTGGGAGTGATGACACCAGAAAATGCAGGGGTTTATTATGCTGCCACCAAAACCAACACAGAAACTCCAGGGTGGTAAGATCACTCATGGCATTTTTTTCTTTATGGAAAGAGCTGGAGTGCCACTGCCTGTGTGTGTTGCTGCAGTCCACTGTGGGACAGAGCCAGAAGCCCACAGAAGTGCTCACATGTGGGATCTTGAGGAAAAATAAGGGGAAAGAACAAAGTTATTTCCACAATCCTTAGAACGTAGGTGATGAGGGGAAAGAAAAAAGGGGAAAGGGCAAAATTATTTCCACAGTTTTTCATATCTAGGTGTATTTCCATTATGGATTTAGACATCCAAATTCATTGGCTCAATTCAGCTACCCAAATATAAGCATCTATTGCTATTTGAGTTGAACTGGGTTATCCAGTTTGGCCATGAGCTGCTGCTCCAGGGACACACAGATCTCCTTTTGTTACTGTTTTGTATCTGCCAGCAGTTATGGATGTCTTGGGTATTGCAAATCTACATGGGGGTAACTAAACAGTGCCCTAAATGTCTACAGTGATGAAGACACCAGTGTCCAGTAGGAGCTCCCAAGTATCCATGTTCCACAAAGAAAGACTCAATTGTCATGATTCTGGCCAAAGAGTACTGATATTGGCCTGTTAACCATAGAAATATAAAAAGGTTTCAGGATATGTGTTCAATTCACGTAGAAATAGAAAAAAAATAGTGGGACCTGGTTTTATAGGATCTTTAAACATGGGTTAATTGGCCTTGCAGAGGCATGGGAGAGCCTGAGAGGTTTTACAGCAGGGGACAGAACCTGACCAGTTTGCAGCTTGGACAGATGTAACACTGCTGAAGGCTGTGTCAGCCATTCCAGTTGCTGGAGAGGCACAGCATCCTACAGGAAACATTCCAGTGTTTCACAGCACAAGGTCTTCCAGCTGATCAGAGGGACAGGTACACCCACATTTACACAGACCAAACCAGAATACTGTGAATAATAGTTTTATTGTGGAGTCGATTACAGCCAGCACAGACTAATCAGCATCTGGCTCCTGACACTTCTCTGATATCTGGTCCTTGGATACCTGGCAACTCTGCCAGACTCAGAATAAATCAGATTCATGGGCTCACATTGGTCCCACTTCTGTACTCAGCACCAGGCATTTGCTTTGGCCACTGGTAGGGGTGCATGGGCTCTTGTTTTGACCCAGTACAGATTTTTTTCTCATTTTCTGATCATATACTGGATCATCTGACCATGTGTCACAAATCATCAGATGTCTCCCATGCAGGAGGGACCAGGACTATTTTTATTAATCTGTGCCCCCCTAGGACAGCACAACCATCTTCCTGTGCTTTTTCACAGTCCAGCTCAGCCAAAAACAGCCAACTCCTCTCCCTGTCACTACCCCAGGTGATATTTTACTGGTAGTGGAGGCTCTGAGACACCACTTTGCCTAGAAATCCCCTTGAAAAAAATAAGTAGGTTACTGCCTTTTACAGGTTTTCATGTATAATAAAAAAGTTTTTCCTTTTCTTTCAATCTGCCAGCATTCAGTAAAGACTTTTGACACGTGAAGATAGAAGGGAACTTAATTGCACACTTGGTTCTGTCACTTTCCTTTGTTAAAATAAAAGAACTTTTAAGATGAACTTTTTCAACAGGTAGAAAGTAGAGGTTGGAGGAAGGAGAGAAGAGCAGTGCTGACAGGGCCGAGTGGGGATAGTGGATTGTTTAGAAGCCAAAATGACTGACTGTTTTCAGTTGTTGAAAGGAACTGTTTTTCCTCTAAGGACCTGATTCATTAAAACTGTATGCTGCATTTACATACATTTCTGCTGAATACCTCTCTTTGCCTGAAAGGCTGGGGTGATGCTGTCTTTTCAAGCAGTCGGTGTCTAGGTCCATGCAGATGACAAGCATTTAGAGAAACCAGGCTTGGATGGGGTCCAGCAGCACAGCAGGAAATAGGTTTCTGCATCTCCTCTTAGCCAAAAGACAGCTATCCAAGGTCTGTGTTCCCAGCTTGCATCACTGTGATAAAATGAAGGGTAAAACTGGCTCAGCACAGTTTTCTTGTTTATAACTCAGCAGTGAAGGACCTTCTGAAGACCAGCAAGCTGAGTTCACCCACTTTTTCCATTACACACATCCCAGAAGACAGGAGTTACAAGGTGATAATGAAGAACCCAAACTTTATCTAGAACCAGGTGTGCAGTGAGTCTCCTGAAAGGAATCATGGACCACAGGGATGCTCTTTAGTATTAGGAAATCCCACCAGGCTCAGAGATTGCATCTATGCTAACAAAGTAAACCACACACACTCCGAGTCATCAGTCTGCACTTGTCCATGTTACTAAAATGTTAGAATGGCTCATTGAATTCTCCCAAATGCCTTTCAGGAAAGCCCTGGAAGACAGCCCACAACAGGGTCTATACTCCAGGAAGCCACAGGATTTAGGAGACTGGAGGAGTGTAACTATATGTGTGTTATCAGATGGTGACAAGTGGTCTGCAGGTGTGAGGGTGACCCTTGTCACTCTACACTTCATTGGGTGGCACTGTTTCCAGGCTACATGTAGTCACTGTGAGCAGTACCAGGTAAATCCAACAAAAGCCAGGGCTCCAGCTGAGTGTCATGGTCATCTGGAGGTGATCACATCCTCCTGGTCCCTGCTCAGTGCCTTTATTTCCAATAAAGGCAACGGAGAACTCTGTGCTAATTTGGACAGATCCCCTTTCCTTTTTTTAATTAACTGAATCATAAACCAAGTGAAAGTAAGTGATATCTGTTCATCCATGGTTCAGATAATGCTCTTCTGAGGACATGAGCTAAATGCAACTGATTTGGTTTCTTATTTTTAAAAGTCTGTTGGTAGAATAGTCCTAGGCTAACTTACAAACAACAATACAACAACACAAGAATGAAAAGGCCTTATTTTCAGGTCTCTCCTAGTTCTAGGTCCTATATAGAGGAATTCCAGGGAATAAATTTAACCCCCAGGTGCTGAGGCATCCTGAGAAGCCTTAGGGAAGACTGAATGGGAGAGGAAATCCATCCATCCATCCATCCATCCATCCATCCATCCATCCATCCATCCATCCATTCATCCATCCATCCATCCATCCATCCATCCATGCATTCTTTACAAAGATGGGCTACTATGCTGCTGGGAGAGAATCAGACCCTGAATTCCCACACAAGGGGTTCTTCCTTCACAGCCCCTTTGTCTTAAGGGCTGGGAGTCAAGAAGACAAGTCCCAAATATCCAGGACTTCAACTTGCAGATAAAGCAGTGCCCACAATCGACACAAGCCTGTGTACAAGTATTGGTGTATTTATACAAAATAAATAATAGAGCAATCTACACATTTCAGGCATATTCTAATGCTAAATCACCATTTCCTTTAACCATAAGCCTTGCTGCCAATGTAGGCAAGCTAAGCTAGACTTAACACTGAGAAACTGTGTCCTCTTCAGGGGAAAAATTGCATTTTAAAATGCTAGCATTAATATGGTTCCACAAGGAAAATATACCTGTTCAAGAGATTCTGTATGTTGTTGGCTGTGAGAATTTGGGGCAGGGAATCCAGAGATGCATTTCTTTGTCTTTAATTTCTGTAACAACATTTCTGTCAAGCAATTCTATTATGAATGAGATCACTCAGGATAAGGTGGCAGTGTTTTGAGAATCAGCTTTATGGGTAGGATTACACCTGTTTTATTGAAGGATTTCCATTTTCCTTTTAGACAAATATGTAAAGAATTCCAAGACCTTCTAAGTCAAGACAGATCACCCCTCGGATCCTCCAGACCAACTCCAATATTAGACCTCGACATCCAGAGACATTTAACACATTTCAGGTATGATTTTCAAAGAAGAAACTAAAAATCCATACATTTGATTTAGACTGCATATGATGTTTCAATGTTATTTGTTCCCTTACTTAAAAGACATGCAAATAATTAATTTAGATCCATAATCCCTGCTAGATGTGCCTATTAAAACTGCAGGTTTGCCCAGCAATGTAGTTCAAATTTTCTGCATTCAGCCTGCTTCTAGGACCTCAGTCTGAGATTGAATAAGATATTTTCTGCATCTACTTGTCAGATCTCCCCATTTGGCCAGGAAGCTGTCTTGCTTTAAATGTGACCCAAATCACAGCTCACAAGTGGATGGTCCAGAAGCATAGAAACTCAAGTTCTGAACCAATATGAATTAATCCAAGTAGAAATAATAGGAAGAAGAAGTTGCATCCTTTCCAATTAAATAAATAGTTCCAGAAGCACATCTATGTGACTGAGATAATTTGACAATGTCTTACCAGGACCATTTTATTAATTCTTTGGCTTCCAAAGAAGGCTGGCCTCAAAGTACATTACCTATTAAAACAATTTTACAGCACTAATTTCCAAATAACACACTGAAAAACATCTGGGAGAATGAAAGCTCACTCACACTAAACAGCCAGATTGGTGATATATTTAGATTCAGTTTTTGAACAATATTTAATGTCCTGGTTTAAACAGGCTGTTTTGAAGACAAAGACCCAAGGCACATACACACCAAGTCCAAACTCCATTAGAATTTTATCCTAGTTATGTGTAAACGTCTATAGATGTTTTGGGGTCAGAAAGATTTATTAGCTCAGGAGTTGCTGTGCAATTTCACGTTTTTGCTTTAGGCAATGTGTCAGATACACTCGAGAGTGAGATGAGAACTTCCAAAGGGCCACTTTGAAATAGTGGGGTCATCTAAGATATCTCTCAAAGATAAGTTTGATGAAACATCCTGGAGATGCTCCTGTCTTTGCTCAGGCCACAGAGGCTGACTTGCTGAGGCTACAGATTGTTAATTTTTTCAATCCACTAGCTGAAATATGGAAAAACATGCAAAGAACTGTTCCAGAGAGTTGTTTACAGACCATAATATTAAGCAAGTTTCACAGCCCTATAAAGACTTAGAATTGTGTTGTATACTCTTTAGCACAGCCAGCTGAGACACTCTTCCTTCGTTGGCTGGAAAGACAACATCTGTGTCCCAATGTGCCAACATCTGTTAGTTATTAACATCCTGATAGGCACTGTGATAACTGATGTTTAGTCTCTCACACTTTGAGTGGAATCCTAAAAATTCCCACCACCCCATTCTTTCATACATCTGCTGGGGTGTGGAGAGGCAAGAGTAATTCCCCATCCACTGATGCACACATTCCTGACATTCCTGTTTATTCTTCCACACATCTGTGTGCATCCTATGTGTGTATGAACACACCTAGACAACTTATTCCTCTTCTCAAGCTCTGCTATGCATTTGTGTGTGTGTATTTTCCATGATACACACTCCAAAACACCCAACTCCATGTGCACATCAAGAGAAACATCCTTATTTGTGCAGAATGCTCATAGAGGGATTTTAATGAGCAACCTAAGCTTGTGGAGAAAGAGATAATTCCCTATTATTATTACATGTGCACAGAGGAAATGTGATATGAGGTGGCTAATCCCCAAGGATTCCTGTGTTTAAAGTAGAAATAGCAGTCAGGATAAAATGCTGAAGGTTTCAGATACAAAACTGTCAGCTGGTACAGCTCCCATCCTTCCTTCTCTGCTGCACTTCAGTAGGCTGGAGGGCAAAACTTCTGCAGGCAGCTCCTGGACCAGTCAGTATTTCCTTTCATGCCTGCTGCAGGCACTAAGTGTTGGACTGAAGATGGGCACCTGGAGGAGAACAGGCCTTGGTCCTACACAGGGTCTTCCCTGGCCTTAAATTAGAGTCTTCTCTGATTGTGCTCAGGGAATGATGAGTGCTGCCAGACCCAGAGGTGGAGCTGAGACCATATTCCTTTTCCAGCTAGTGTAGAGGTGCTGGGGTCAGATCAGCTTCCAACCCGGACTTCTGCCTCCACTGCAGCCAGCTGTACATCTTCTGCCATCGTGTCCACTCAGCTCACCTGCATAGCCCAAGAAATCTGACTTAATCAGGTCTAATAAAGATGTCTACATCAGTGTAACTATAATTTCTCTCTAAACTCCATTGGCTGAACATTCTGGTCTAGATCTCCACCAGAATGGGAGATCAGCCAACCAGTACACAGTAGACACTTACACTGTGGACAGCTAAACCTAATGTAGGCAAAAAAAATCATAATTCCCATCCCCTAAATCCACCAGTCCTCACAGCCAGATTGTCTCAACCCCTACTTGTTTGCTTGAGATTAAATATCTTGGGTTTGGAAGGGACCTTAAATCTCATCTTATTCCAGTGCCCTGCCATGGGGAAGCTAGGGTCTCTAATGTCCCTTCCAACCCAAACCATTCCAGGATTCTATGATATGATGTCAGAAATCTGAAGGGATTTTTTATGACCATAAAGAAATCAGAGGAATCACATAAATGTCTATTATTAAAATAAGTTCTAAGATATTAAAAGACTTTTTGAAGAGCCCTAACATCAGATCTCTACAGTGGAATTGGATCCAGACTCTACTACAGTGGGGTGAAAGAGTTTTCTTTAGGAATAAATTCCCTACTGTTCACTGTAGAGCTGTGTATTCCACTGTCTCGTGATGTTACTTGTTCTATGTTAATAATTAAGACCAGGGTTTACAGCCTGGCACAGGTCAGATAGAAGCAGCTTCTTACCCACTTTCTCTGTCTTAAATCTCCAAGTTCACACTTCTCTCTGAAGTTTTTCCACTGAGTATTAGTTCACCGAGATCTGTAAATGTGTCCAACCTGGAGTACAGCATGGCCCCATGAAGGGATCAGAAGTGCTGGGTTTGCTCAAACTCCAAACTCAAAGTTCACACAAAGCACAGAACAGGAAATCTTCAAAGGAGCTGACAGTGAGCCTGAAAGCTTCTGGATTTTGCACAACCTTATGCAAAAAACCAGAAACTCTTGTGCACCCCTGTTTGTGCAGCTGCTGTCTGAGATGTTCTGAATTCAAAAACTCAGTGTTCCATGAGGAATGATTTTCCAATATTATTCAAGCATGAACAGATGATTTAGACCCATAAATTTATAGCAGCAAATATTTTGCACTACCTGGGCCAGGGTCATTTTATGGTTTTTTTTCATTCAACATTTTCCCTTTTCAATACATTTTAGAGGATCTTACTGCAGGGAAGTTACTTTGGTAACTTCACTTGTCAGTATGTTGTTGAAGTTATATTGCTACCTTCAAATAACTTCAAGTATATTGATACAAGCAGATAAAAGCAGTGCTAGAGAAGAGGCATTGGCCACCTGTGCTTCTCTTTACCTGCAGAATTTCCGGGTTTTTTTCTGCCTAGTCTAACCAAGAACTAATCCAAACTATTCCTGGGGACAGTGGTACATATATATCACCAATAAAAGTGTAAGTTCAGAATTCCTAGAAGCACCAGCCCCTATTATAGCCCAGTCAGGTGCCTTGCCTGTGTAATAAATTTAGATTTAGGGAAGTCCTGCCTTGCCAGGGCTGGATCCCAAACGTCATGGGCTAAGTGTTGGGGTAGCTCAGATTTCTAAGCATTAGTCTTTCTAAGCATAAGTCTGTGTTCAGGAAGAGGTGATATGTTGAAGGGGTGCCCAAGTTGTCCTTCAGCTCTTCTTTGAGCTGGATAAGTTAGGAGAGACACTAAAAATCATCTTGTTCCAACCTCTCTGCCATGGGCAGTGACACTTTCCACCAGACCAGGCTGCTCAAAGCCCCACTCAACCTGGTCTTGAGCACAGAGTCCTGTGGGTTCTATCTGACCTGAAAGTCATCACTTGAGTTACCCCACCCCCTGTTTCTGATGAAAAATTCATCATGAAGTCATGGACCAAGCAAGAAAAAAACACAGGAAAAATCCATTTCCATTACTAAGTGCTGAGACTTTTTGTCCAGACACAGAAGCGTCTCTTTATTGTCCTCTAAAGGCTGATCTGTGCAAAGCATTTTTGAGTTTACTACAAAAGAGACCAAAGTCAGCATATCAGTACTAGAAAAGAACCTGAAATTTTCTCTAGCTTTAATGAGAGGAACCTATTTTTCTCACCCTTTACTTTCAAAGTGGAGAGACCATGAGGATCATCAGGAGAGTAAAGAGTGAGAAGAGTGCCAGATCACTCGTGACCTGAAGAATCTCTGTATCCTCAGTCTGCTAATGCAGCTAAAGGTTGAATCAGCAGCATCCCCCAGCTTCAGTTTAAGAACCTTAGAGTGATTCAGCTGTCTGGGTAATGTGGAGATCTCTGGTCATTTTAGGTGTGAAGAGACATCCTGTTTTACATGCATCTGCCACTCAGAGCAGCATTTAGGGTATCCCTCCAACTGGATCACATATCCAAATCAATAAGACAGCATTTTTTAAAAATTATTTTAGGCAATATTTCTCTTCAGTTGAGTGGAGAGAGCTCACACCTTCTTCTCTCTTCCATTCCACTGTCATATCTGAGATTCAGCCAGGAAACTGAAAGTCACACTTATATGTCTTCATGTCTTTGTCTTCTTAACCTGCCCTTGCTTCAGAACAGCTTTGTTACTTGTTATTGATTTTGTTGGTTTTTTTTAATTTTTAGCAGAATTATTTTCTTGGTTCCCCAAAATCTCATGTAAACTAGAGATAGCAGAAAACCCATTAAAAAAAAAACCCAAAAAACCAAAAACAAAAAAACAAAACAAAACAAAACAAAAAAAAAAACCAAAAGACATACATTCTTTGCTGGAAAACCAAAACCAGAACACATAAACCTTTAAAATAGAAGACTTTCTGAGATTTTACTCATGAGATCTGTGTCTTGTTTTATACATACAGACTTTCTGACCTCATCAAACAGCCTCCTAGCCTCACCTTCTTCACTTGTAAAATTGGACATAGACACATCTTCTACAC